AGCACCTCAATTCCCCCTCTTCCTCCCTGAATCCCTACGCAACAGTCCGATCGAACGGGGGCCCTGCAAACAATTTTTTACCCTCGGGTTTTCGGTCTCGGAGGCTATAATCCTGTGGAGCCTCGGGTTGGTGTGTGAACCCAGGCAGTAGGCGTTCGTAAAGAGGGAGCGGCCCCCCGGGAAACCATAATCTGATTGGTGGCAGATCGTGTTTGCCGGACGGGGGAACTTGACCAGAGGGTATCCCCCTTCTTCCGACTTCTGATCCTCCATAATTCTCGGGGCAATGAAATTGCGGGTTGCAACGTTTGGTTCCGGCAAATTATAGTGTAGATTTTGGTATGCTTACGCTTTTTGGAACTCAAATTCGCTCGGGCTGATCTGGCGACGAGCTCAAGAAGTTCAGAAAAATTGCCGATACATCATTTTTAGTACTTCACCTTCCTATTTACAAAAATTCTTCATTTTTGCTTTATTGTTGCGATTGTTAGTCTTACAACGAGCTCGAGACGTCCAGAATACTTATTTATCAGAACTATTATTACTAACTACTATTTATTAAAATTTATTTTTAAAAAATTATTTTTGTTTTATCGTGAGGCTTATTGGATGTTCGACGAGTTCAACAAGTTCAGAATATCTGTTTTAAAGCGATTTATTAGATAGATTCGTAAATTATATTTGTTTTGCATTAAACTTTCTATTTCTGATCTTACGAGTTCAACGAGTAGTTTAAAAAAGCTCTCTCAACGTCATCCTTAACATGTTCAGTCGCAGATTAGCAAATTAGTCCCTCAAATCCGATGATTCCGTGTTATGCTCGTTCGTTTTGATCTTAGGACGAGTCTAACAAGTTCACAAAAAATGCCTCTACGTCACACCCCTCAACACGTTCGACCATAGATTAGCAAATCAGTTCCCCGAAATCCGAATCACACTCCAACAACACTCGCGAAGGCCACCCTGTTGTATCACTCAAGCCATCAGGTCGCCCCCCCCCCCTCCGAAATTCGGGGAATCTGTGTTCCTCCTCATGCTCATTCTCCTCCTCCCCACTGCGCGTCATCACTTTTTAACCATCCGTACAATGAGGATGACCTTCCTCTTCCTCCTCCTCCTAGAGAGTTTCTTCCTCTAGGTCAGCAGGGCCGGATGATGCGTTTGAGGGGGAGTAAAGGGTCCGGTCCTTCTCCAATGTTTGTAGAAGAACCCTTTTCATTTTGTGTGCCAATGGGGGGCCCCTGGTCTCGCCGCGAATTCTCGATTCCCTTTCCCCCGTTTCTCAACCCACTCCCACCATTATCGACCGTGCTTTTGTAACTGCTTCCCTTCTCTTCCGGCTCTCTCTCTCTCTCTCTCTCTCTCTCTCTCTCTTCGCGAAGGAAGAGACACTCACAAACACAACCCGCCTCGCGCAGTTGCGGGAACGGCTTTATCCTGGCCGATGTCACTTCGTATCGGCTCGTTTCTTTTTGAGACTTGAAACTGTTGTGCGAGACTGGATTGATCTGACTCGTTCATGGTGGTCAAGGTTTTATAGTTTTTCTGTTGTTGATGATTTTCCATGGGTTTTAGGAAGTTGGGGCCACTCATTCGATATTTTTCCCAATTTTTTTGTTTTTCTATATTTTAAATTTTCTATTCTCTAATTTGCTTGAATTTGCCATCAATTTAGCATGAATTTTGCAGCTCTCGGCTCTCGAAATTCCAGAAAACTAAAGTTTGCCAGCTTTTTCCAAATTTTAAGCAACTTTTCATCAATTTTCCAGCACAACTTCATATGTAATTTGTAAAATTCTATGTGTGTGGATTTCTATTTTCTATTTATTTCCACTCGTTTTTGATCAATCTAAGAGTTAAAATTCCCCCAAAAATCCACAAAACTCATTTTTACGTATTTTTACCATACCCGAACGTCAAAAACCCAAAAGCCTCGAGGGAATACGGCAACGAACGTGCCGTAATTGCTAGTGAAAAATTAAAATTAACACGTTAATTTTTGCGTATTCAATTCCCAGTGGATTTGTGGAGGACTATCAGCAAAAATATTTGGCTACAACCTGTATCAAAATTCTAATTTAATCACATTTTCCAGGTTCTGAAGCTGCTAATTTTTTTTACGGTGATTTTTTACGATACAGATTTTCATATTGAATTTAGCTATTTTAATAGCAATTTTGACTACCTGCAACAGATTATTGCAAATTTTGATAATTTATGTTTTATAAATTTTAATGATAAATTCGTAATTTTGCAATTTTTGCAATTTCCACCCGGCTCCCCGGTGACAATTCCTGGCTTCATATTGGCTTCACCAATTTCACCAGGCAGATGGATACACACACAAAAGGGTTCGGAGCAGGTGTTTTGAGGCGCTTTCAAATGGATCGTATATTCCGGCGGAGGGTGCCCACAGGCCTAGCCTAGCCCTTCCAAATCGATGGGCCATCCCCTAGACGACCGTTCTAACTATCGCTAAAATCAGTGAATTTTTTAGGCACCCCGAAAATTCCCAGACAAAACTTTTGAGCGTTCTGGGGCTTCATTAAATCTTTAGAACGATCTATACGATGTCCAAATTTGATGTTGAAATTTGATTTTACCGAAGCTTGATTTTGTCAAAACTTCAAAATGCCGAATTATCCCCTAGTCGAAATTCATAATACCGATTTTCTTTTCGCGCTAGATTTTGTGACTTTCAGGGAATTTGCTTATGGAAATTTAAACATTATAAACCATAGAAATTATGATAGTTCGGTCTTATGACATTTCGACATTATGAAATTAACCCGATCTATACAGTCCCTCCCCCTCCCGATTCCGTCCGACTCCTATTTGCGTTTCCGAAAATGATTGATTTCTGTATTTGGGGGGCTGATTCAGCCCCCCCCACGTACACCAACGACGCCGGCTAAGGCACGCCCCAAACATTACTCACCGTAGTTGGCCCGGTTTGTTGGCTTGAAAAACCGAAAAAATGTAATTTTTATCGAATTTTATTGGCAATCCATTTCATTTAGGATTCGGGGTTAAATTTTATATGAGGTAGAGAGAGAGAGAAAGAGAGAGCGAGAGAGCAAGCGAAAAAGATACAGCGCGATCTCCTCGAGAATTTATCATCACCACCAACTGGCGCATGTGTCGCCTGGCTCCTTGACATTTAGCTTCCTTCTTTTTCCAATTTTTTCTTTAATTCTTCTCAAAGAGCAAATTTCTTACGTTCTCATCAACATTCTTCAATTCCCTTCTAAAACCTAGACAACCTCATCAAAAACTAGAAAAAATTGTCCCACTCTTTCGAGCCCGAGCTCTCGCCCCTCTATCGAGTTCCAACCCCGGCTAATTGGAGTCTGACTTCAGGCGCCCGGGGCTACAGATTGATTGGCGCGGGTTATAAATTCACGGGGGTGAAAATAACAGCGCTAGTGGTGACATTTCCCGGAAAGGTGGCGCTAAGAAGGTCAGGTCGTCACATAAATCTTTGGGAGCACCAGCTACACCAGGGGGGAGGGGGAGCTGTGTGGGTGGTCTAGAGAGGGAAGGATGTGTTTTGGTGATGTTAATCCGGGCTAATAGGCATTAATGGGGTACGTTACGATACCCATTACGTAGGTGTAAATAGGTTGGTTCCGTCCATGCTATTCAGGGATTATCTAAGAAATGTGTTTTGAAAATGCGAACTACAGGCTTTAGGTGTCGGTAGTATTCATAGCGTACTAAGCATTAACCCCTACGTTACGATCCCCATTACGTCGGTGTCAATAGTTCCGTTCCCTACCGTGCTATTGAGCACCACCTCCTCCCCGAAGGTCAATGCCCATTAGCCCGGGCCCATAGCCCGCCGGGATTTTTGTTTTTTGGTAATGGAGAAGGGGAGGGGCTGAAGAAGGGGAAAGGGGCGGGCCCTTCTTCTTCGAGAAAATCTCCTGATCCGGGGCCCTGGGCTATCTCCTCAGAAGGGCCCAGAGAGGGCCCTCCCCACTTTTGCAAGAGGAGCCCATCGCCATCCCGAGAATCCACAATTATTCTCGCTCTGAGGTCGGCACTTTTCCCTTCAATACTTCCTTGAGGTATTAGAGGGTAAATGGGGATGGGTTTTGTGGGTTGAAGTTTGAGATTTTATGGGAGTTCGTATTAGTTTGGATAGTTGTTTGCTTTTGTTAAGTAGAGAATTTTTATATATCCTTGGAATTTGCAATTTATACTTTTCTTTGAGGAATTAGAGGGTAGATTCGAGAGGTTTTCGGAGTTTAATCTTAAGTTTTTCGTTGTTTTTCATGTAAAAAAGTTGTATATAGACTGAGAATACTTTAAAAAACGCTTTAGCATATTCTGGATGGATTTGGATGTTTTAACTTCATTTAAAATAGTTATTATCATATGGGAATTTCTCTCGCTTGCTGTCTGTTTCGCGCTCTTTCTCTGGCTCACTCTGGCTCTCGATATCTCTCTCACTCACTCACTCACTCACTCTCTAACACTCACTCTCTCTCTCTCACTCTCTCTCTCTCTCTCTCGCTCGCTCTCAATAACTCAAAACCATTTTTATGTCTCTATCGCAATTTAAAACATTTTTCTTACCAATAATGATGCATTCCCCGCTTTCCCAAAGCCAAGGTAGATTCCAGGTCCCGAGACGAAAGTTTCTCTTTTTGGTACGAACTCCCCAACCACATCTCCCCCCAATATATCTTCCTCGTTTTCATGCCTTATTAGTGCCAACCCTGCCCTTCCCCCTCCTGTCCTGTCTATTCTGCGCTCCCCTTTCTTCGTTTCCGAATTATTCACCTCTCGCCATACACACACCGCGGGGGGTCTCCTGGCGGGGGCTATCGAATTGCAGCCTTTTCATTAGACGCCCTCCCCCCCTCCCGTCGACTACATGTATCACTTATGTTTTCTCCATGTTTCGCACGCTATCCCGTTTTCTCGGTTTTCAATTTTCATCTCTTGAATTTTCTGAAAATTGAGGTCTATTTTCGATATTTTCCAGGTGGGCCATGAACCTACTGGCGCTTCTCGTAGTGCCATTGGCGGCCGCCACCCAAATAGCGGTAAGTTATAGGGATTTAATACGTGTAAACTTACCTAGAAGCCGGAAATCTTATGGATTTTGACGTTCTTGTTCCTTTAAAGCCTAAATACTGTGCAGGTTTTGACGTTCTTGGTACTTTAAAATCGAAAATTACTTTTTTTGTGTTGCTCCTACCCTAATTGAGCATGAGAATTTTGCAAGACCCTCCAAATCACCTCTAAATTTTGGTAATGAACTCCGAAAATCACTAATCTCACCGGAAACCTCGGAAATCTCCCACATTTCCGGCGAGTTCAACTCTTTCCAGGACATGGCCGTCAACATCGACGACCTGGGCCGCAAACAGTCAAGCTTCGTCCCGTTGGTCGCCTTCCAGTGTGGATTCAGGTATGGAAATACCTTAAAAAAATTTCGAAAAACCTGAAAATGTGTAAAAATAAAAATTATATAATTGCTTCAGAAACAAATACATGAGCGATGACGGGGAATGGGTTTCTGACGCCAACCGTTACGCCACGTGCCAGTCCGGCAAGCTGGACGTGCTCAAATACTGCAAGCGGGTGGGTTTTTGGGTTTTAAAGGGATTGGAAAATGGCTGTCAAGACCTAGTGAAGGGGAGGGGTCGATTTTTGGACTTGTTAGTGCCTTTAAACACCAGATATTTTTATTTAAGGTGTTTGGAAGGTTAAGGGGCGCCTAGATATCTTTGCTCTTTGTCGCGCCGCGCCACGCGACGCGTCTCTCTGGTTTTTCATTGCGTAATCGATTACGGGTTTTTAAAGGGCCATGCAGGACACCGCTGTGAAATTTTAGAAATCTATTTTCTACTGATTTTACGTACGTTTTTGACACGCAGCGCTGCCAGGTTTTGCATGCCATATGCGTTGCGGATCGCGGAAACGCGTTGCGTGCCGCGAAGCGGAAAATTCGTAGTCGTTTTTGCCCATTTTTTAAGATTATAAAAAACACCTACTTATTACCTAAAAACCACCCAGACCAAAAACAAAGCCACCCAAAATCCTGCGCTCCTCTCAATAGTCCCCCACACGCTCCCCTTCCCCCTTCCTCCTCCTCCTTCTTCTTCTCCTGCTCACCCGGGCGTTTCATGCTCGACGGAGCGTGTGATAAGATTTGAGCGCTCGTAGCTCATTTTTCATCGGCCCCCCACACAGCCCCTCAACCACCACAAACAGCCACATCCTATTGAGTAGGTGGGGGGAGGGAGGTGTTGAATGGAATAAAGCGGAAGAGTTTTGAATGGAAATCTTGCGGGGTGCCGAATCTCAATAATCCCCCTCCAGGGGGCTGTGGATACAATTACTCGGCGGGGCCTTGGGGGTTGCTAATTGCATTTGCGGGGGGGCGCAGGGGTTAAATAATGGTCTTGGAGTTATCGGTCTTGAAATCTTTCGGGTTCAGGAGTTATATCAATGAATTTGGGGACCAGAAAATAAATTAAAAAAAAGGAAAAATTTCTTAGCTCTTTTATTGACTTCCTGGTTGTTTTAAAAGCCTAAAAATAATGTTTTAAGTTGGAATGCAAGTCAAAATACCCTTGTTAATTTTTTATTTATAGGTTTATATGTATATTTTTGCTCTAAATGGTATATATTGGTTGTTCCTAAAGCGGAAGTTTGCAAAATCACACTTTGTGGTTCCTGTGAATTAATTCAACCTCTTGAAATTAGCTGAAAAGTAGCCAAAAATATTTTCTAAACATTAAATATGTATAGCTAGATTTCCTGGCCTTAAACTCTATTATTGTATAAACGCGGAAACCAGGAACTTCCACTTCGGAACATTCTAATTTCCCCACTCCACATATCAGCCATATTTACATAAGCTAGTGCTGCAATTGAAAGGCTTTTCCACGATCGTATCTCTCTCTCTCTCTCTCTCTCTCTCTCTCTCTCTCTCTCTCTCGCTCTCACAATATCATACCCTCCCGGCCCCGTCAAACACATTCCGTCGATTCCCCCCCCCTTTCGGCCCCATTTGTTCGGGCCGGGTCTCTCGCCAAGTGTCTGCATTTCTAATATCCATATGGGAATGAAGCTCGGCTCCCCCACAGGCCTCATCAACGGATATACACTGCTCGAGTGGGGACACAAAAACCGGGCCCCAGAAATGGGCCCCCAGGAATGTCCCTAGAATTCCCAATGCCCCTCCACTGGGTGGTCCTCCTGAACGTTTCTCGCGCTCCCGAATAACCCGGAATTTGGGGAACACAAATCGAGCTAATTAAATGGGGACCCTCACCTCGTCGTAGCCCATGGCCTAGTCGTAGCCCCCTCATTAATCCCGGTACCGTAGCCCTGGTGGCTTTTTTTTAATATCTGGCCCCCTTTTCCGACTGAAGACCGCCAATTAGAAACACGGACTACGGGGCGTTCTGAAAAAACTATCACCTGATTGCAGCTTTCATAGAAATATTGACAAAATTCGAGCAACATTGAGGAGCATCGTACCTTAAAAAAATATTGAGTTGAACCCACATATCTATATTATTTTTCTAGTTTTGATAAGAATAAATTTTATTTTACCGTTTTTGATATGGTTTTTGAAGAGCTATGGCTCGAAATCAAACTGTTGTAAGATTCTGACCTTCTTCTACCACTAAGCATTCTATCAAAAAATTTTTATTCGAAATTTTGTAGAGTAAAATTGGCCAAATTACTAAAAATAAAGATTTTGCAGCAAAAATTCAATAAAAAGCAAAAAATATTAAAAAATTCCCAAATCCCATAGAACCCTGAAATGGTTATAAAATAGGGCTACAACATAAAAAAAGCTTTATTCGGAAACAAATATACCTTCTTAAACCGAGGAAAATTAACTTATTCAAAAAAATTAAAATGACAACTTTTACAGTACCCCAATAATTCATATAATTCCGATTGTTTTTCTCAGGATCCGGGGTCCCGTCACGCTCCATTGATCGAAATTGGGCACCCAGCAGTCGTGGAAAGCCCTTATTTGCATACCCCAAGCACCCAGATATCCTTTAGCACGGGCTGGCTAAAGGGAGGGGGGAAGGGGAATGAATACGAAATATTCCCCCAAACACCCAAACCCGTCCCCCCCAACAACTTGTTCTTTCCACACACATACTCACAAATTGAGCCATTGGACTTGGGCCAAAGGATTGGGGCCCTATGCAGGGGGGCTAGGGCCCTTCTTTGGGCCCTCTACAAGGCCCCAACTCGACTAGCCCTAGCTAGTCCTGAGCCCCAGGGGACCGTCTCACCCTTTTCCCCCGGCACAAACGACCGAATTTATCACTGGCTGGGAATAAAAGTATAGGAAGGGGGAGGGCCGTGTCGGCATGTTTGGAACCCCCCGGAGGAGGGGTAGAAGCGGAAGAAGTGTAGTGGATTGATGAAGTGGACGCTTTTTTTGCCGCTGGGGGAGTTTTGGGAGTTCGGCTTTCAACAGCCGATAAATATGAAGGGTTGGGAATTGGTGAATGTTCCTAAAGGAGATAGGATAGCTATAAAATGCGAGAAAATAGGCGGAAAAATGATTACAAATTTATTCGGGGTATCTCGTAACTGTCGAAACCTAGGCGAAGAACGGCGTCGATTTAAGCAGTTCCAAACCTCGTAAAACGTTGATTAAACTCGATTTAGCGTCGAAAAACTACAATAACCCTCTTAAAATTCTTAAATAATGTAAACAATTTTATTCCATATTTTTCCAGGCCTACCCGACACTCAACATCACCAACATCGTCGAGTACTCCCACCAGGTGTCCATCGAAAAATGGTGCCGAGAGGAGGGAACCCCATGCAAATGGACCCACACCGTGCGACCCTTCCGTTGCATTGGTAGGTTATCTATATTTTGTAAATTTGTCACTTCTCTCGCTCTCTCGCTCTCTCTCCCTCCCTCCTCTCTCTCTCTCTCTCTCTCTCTCTCTTTCTCTCTCTCTCTTTCTTTCTCTCTCTCTCCTTGACAGGTGGAACGGAAATTGGCACCTGCCCACACACAACCTGAGGAAACTTTTGTTCTTTATCGCCCCCAACATCTTTAATTGATGGAAAGATTCTTAAACTACAGGAACTGAAAATTGCAAAATTGCTTGTGATTTTTGGTGTCTAGCGATTACCTTACAAAATATACACATCCAATTTCTAGTCGGCGAATTCCACTCCGAGGCTCTGCAAGTCCCGAAGGGCTGCAAGTTCTCGCACGTGAATGGCCGCGACCAGTGCAACGACTACAACCACTGGAAGGACGTCGCCATGCAGCAGTGCAACACTAAGGTGGCTTTTGTAGTTTGTAATTTAAATTATAGTTTTCTTTTTTTTAGGGAACCACCATGAACGTGCATTCGTTCGCCATGCTCGAGCCGTGCGGTCTGGACCTGTTCACCGGGGTTGAATTTGTCTGCTGCCCTGCTAAGAGTACGTTTTTGTACTTTATAAGTATTTTCAATACCTAATAAGTTGTATAATACAACGCAAAAATGTGTAAAACATGTTTAAATAATATTTCCAGGCGCCGACGAGCTCGTCGAGGTCAAGCCCGTCACCGAAGCTGCCAAGAAGGAGGAGTACGACGACGAATACGATGACGATGATGATTCTGGTATGAAATACCTACTTTTCTAAGCAATATCTATCTTTCTAGAATCTGATGAAGATGACGAACCAGCCGACAAGAAGACCCAAGACCCCTACTTCAAGACTGTCGACCCAGACAACGAGCATGAGAACTTCAAAAATGCCATGGAGCGCCTCGAACGCAAATACCGCGACAAGCTCAACAAGGTCATGAATGAGTGGAACGAGCTCGAGGGCCGATACAAGAAAATGGCCACCAAGGACGCCAAGGGAGCCGAAGCCTTCAAGGCCGAGATGACCAACCGATTCCAGAAGACCGTTGGATCGCTTGAGGATGAGAACAAGGCTTCGCGCCATGAAGTCGAGCAGGTCCACGAGCAACGCGTCCAAGAGGCTCTCAACGAGAAGAAGCGCCAAGCCACCCACGACTACCGTCAGGCTCTTGCTCTCCACGTTGGAAGTGCCAACAAGCACAATGTACTCAAGACCCTCAAGTCGTACATCCGCTCTGAGGAGAAGGACCGTATCCACATCCTCAACCGCTACCGTCACCTCCAGAAGACCGACGCCCCGGAGGCTGCCAAATTCAAGCCCCAGCTCCTCCATCGCCTGCGTTACATTGATCTGCGCATCAATGGAACCCTGGCCATGCTCCGTGACTTCCCGGATCTTGAGTCGCAGGTCCGCACCATTGCCCTCACCTTCTGGTCTGATCTTCGCAAAGAGAATATGCCCGAGCTTGATGATCCCGAGATCGCCAAGTTGAACTCGTTGAACACCGACGACGTCAAGGTTGTTGAGATCGTCAAGAAGGGAGCTGCTGCTACGTCCACGACTACTGCCGCTCCTAAGAAGGAGGCCGAGAAGGTTAAGGTGAGAATTTTTGGTTGATCACTGCTGACCCTAAAACGACGGTATCTCGGTGGAACCCTACCGTAGAGCGCTTCAAAGCTGCGCCAGACGAAAGCTAACATCTTGGCATACTTTACACCACTTGAAGTCTTACCAGAAGTTTTATTTCAAACTTATATACTTTTTTTAGGTCCTCTCCGACACCTCGAAGAACAGCGAGGAAGACGATGATGCCTATTATGAGGATGAGGATGATGAGGAGGTCCGCAAGGTCAAGAAGGGACCCGTCAACGTCGAGCAGCAGACTGTTGACCTGAAGCCCAAGAGCGCGTCGGTGGAGATCGACTTCGAGAAGTCGGGCAAGAAGGACGAGGCCACGCAGACGGATGATGACGATGATTCTGACAGCGAGGAGGACAGTGATGAGGATGAGGAGATTACCAAGACCATCAAGGAGCTCCGTGTTGACATCGAGCCTATTATTAAGGAGAGTCTGCAGCATGAGGAGCACGCCATTCCGGCTTATTACCGTCATGACAAGCTGGTTCAAGATGAGGTGAGGGTTTAAAAAGCACTTTTTGAGTGACAGCTGATTGGGGAGCGCGATTAATTGATAAGGGTTTGGAGGGTAGGGGTTTCAGAGTTTCGCAACTCGTTCTAAAGGTTCAATTCTTATTTGATACATTCAGATGAGCGCTGATTATTCGGCCTGGAAGGTCGTCGGAGGCAACGAGATGGCGTTCGTCGCCTGCCTCGTCGTCTTCTGCGGACTGGTGGTGGCGGTGTTGTTCAACAACCGACGCCGGCGGTCGCACGCTGGATTCATTGAGGTATGTTAATTTGGTTCTTTTGCATTATCGGGGGGGGTCACATATAAATAGCGAAAGTGTTTCTAAACGATTTGTGACTGGTTCTAACCCCAAAATCTACAAATTTTTACTATCAATAATAAGACTATCATTTTTGTCCAGAAATGGCGGATTTTTGGCCAAAATGTCAACTATAAAAAAGATTTTTTTTATAATTTTACTCTAAAACAGAAAACAAAAAATCAGTTCCCTCACGATAATCGAAAAGTATCGTTAATTTTTCGGTTTGCCGTTATCAATCATTAGCAGAGTTCCACGATAATCCTATGTTCTTCCAGGTTGATGTCTGCACCCCGGAGGAACGCCATCTCTCCGGAATGCAGGTCACCGGATACGAGAACCCCACCTACTCCTTCTTCGACGCCAAGCCCTAAATTAACAATATCGAGAAACCCATCAAAACACCCTCCTCAACTTCATCTCCATCCCGAATTTTTGCTCCTTGATCTAACCCTCCCTAATTCACCACCAAATACCCCTCCCGGATCCCCATGATGCCATCCAAACTCCAATCTCTACAACCCCCCTGAAAAAATTAAGTCGTTGTGCATCTATTCTCTATTCCAACAAGTTGTGCATATGTCGTTGTGATGTCTCCAGGTCCTCTTCAAATTCTTTGGAGGCAAATATACTCACTGGTTTTGCTTGGGGGCTTGTAGGAAAGTTGGGTTCAGGTTGGGGCTAAGCCTCAGCCTAAGCCCAAGCCCAAGCCCAATTCCCCTACTTGCCCCCCAGGCCCCCCGCACCCACATTTTCTTTCTTTCTATCGTTTCATAGTATGAACGAGATTTTGTCCACAAATCTTGAAAGAGTCAATCTCAATGTTCTCACAAAAACCAGTCCCCCACCCCAATTCAATCCACCCACACAAAATCCATTCATTTCCCATTTCCCCCAACTTCCAATTTGTACGAATCAAAGTTAGCGATAATTCCCCCCACCGATTTACATGTTTCGTTTACGTCCAGTTTTTATGGTTTATTTAGATAATAAAACTTTTTAAAAACAAGGTTGTCTGCACGGGATGAGAAAAGAGCGCAAAGATTGCAAAACAATATAAGAAATTGTCACTATAACGGCTTGGGTGGTGGTGATGCGACATCTAATGGATAAGACACCTGGCGCCTCTCTCTCTCTCTCTCTCTCTCTCTCTCTCTCTCTCTCGCTCTCTCACTCCTCCTTGCATTACACAGAGTAGCAAGCACCCCTAATAATAGATGGTTTTTGGCCAAAATTAATATCGACTCATTGATCGCGAGAATAAACCATTTAAAAATGAACTGTAATTACCATATGGAAAATGAAAGACAGACATTGCGAAGGGTTATTGAAAATGATCCTAGATCTAGTGGATAAGACAACAGCGCTTTTCCGCCTGGGGTCCTTACTCTTTATCACAAGAGCGAGATTGTGCTTGCTTACACAACGTTTTAAAAATTAATATTCGAAAAATGACATTTATTTTCGAAAAAACCACACCTTTTTGTAGTTTCTTAGTCAAAATTTTAAGTTCTTTGCAATTAGGAACAATACAAAACAGTTTGGAAACACTTCCTCCATTGATATAAGAAAAATTTAGTTAAATTTAATCATTAGAAACATTATATTAAACCATAGGCTACTAAATACTAAAATGAGCGGCATGGAGTCCTTTTCCCGGTTTAGAAAATTGTTTACGTACTAGCTCAGCACTCATTACTTCCCCACTCGCCGCTCTGGGGATATGTTCTCGGAGGCGACCAGGTGGGTTGCGTTTCGGGGGCGCACAGGGGGCGCGATTTAGGAGACGGCCCGAAAGCTTCCCCAGACGATATGAGCTGTTTTTAGCGTCAAAAAGTAAAACTACAAACAAATATATTTTTATTTATTATCAATTAATTTTTCTATTATAAATTCCGGGATAGTCCTTTCTCTTCCTCATCTATTAGTCCTTCCAAGCACCTCTTATATTAAAAGGAATTTTTTAATTTCCAGGGTTTTAATTCACTCTAGGCGAAACCATTGGTTTATTGAATTTATCATTTAGATATTGGAAGCACGAATACCATAAAAAAAACAATCCCCGGTTGGCATTATAGATAAGACCCACCTTAAATTCAATACCATGAAGCTCTAAACGCATGGTGTTTCAAGGCAAAGAAAATGCGGCTATTAATGTATAGATCGAATTTTTCCGGTTAAGATGATATCAAATCTGGCAACGTATTTTATCGGGATTACAGTATATTTTCTAGGCCAATCTTGCAAGCACTTGATGTCAAACGAACCGCTGAATTTACTCCACAAGTTTTGAATTGTGTTTGAGCATTGACAATGCATTCCAAGGCTGTAAGGCTGTAAAATTTCTTCTCATACATTTTGCGGGCGTTTGTAGTTTGTGACCGCGCCCCCACAGAAGGTTCATTTCACCATATTCCCTTTTCTGTAAATTTTGCTTAATTTCTTGCGGTCGTATCGCGGCCTTTCGTATATAACTAAAAAAATTTACGAAAACCCTTTAATAATTTGATCCAAGTAAAGTGCTTTCGCGCTGAGATAAGTACGAACCGCCTCAGAACGGTGTTTACTCCGATTTGTAATTTTTCTTGTTTTTGCGGGATTTTCAACCAATTTATTATTGTTTTCCCGTCCTAAAATGCGACTTTCTAACCCCTATGTTAGCGTGTAGTGTTTCAAGCGCTTGGTGTCAAACGCACCGTCAAGTTTTGCTCCATAACTTTTGATTGTGTTCTTAGCATTGACAATTTCACTCCAAAGATCTAAGGCTGTAAAGTTTTCTTCTCATACTTTTTGCGGGCGTTTGTAGTTTGTGACCGCGCCCCCACAGACCGTTCATTTCACCATATTCCCTTTTCTGTAAATTTTGCTTAATGTCTTCAGGTCGTATCGCGGCCTTTCGTATATAACTCAAAAAAATTTTACGAAAACCCTTTAATAATTTGATCCAGCTAAAGTGTTTTTGCGCTTTTATAAATATGAACGGCAGCTCAAAACATTGTTTACTCCGATTTGTCACTTTTCTAGTTTTTGCCTTATTTTCAACCTCATTGATTCTTATTTTTGCAGTCCGGGTCCAAAACAATTTGCATACCTCAGTAACGGGGGATCCCTTTTGCTTGTAAAGTTATACTCTGCTTTTCTATTATCGTTTGGTTGATATTTGTCAGTTACGCTATTTTCCTTTTTCCTTTTTTCTTTTGATTTTGATGTTTTCGAGCCTGCGCAATCCCCGGGTTGCTTTTTTTGCAGGCAGCCCTCATATTGAAATGACTTTTCTTGTTATAACGACTAATTCATTTCTCAGGTTTTGCGTAAACCCCGCGTTCCTTGCTTGCTGACTTTCATATATAGCTAAAAAAACTTTACGTAAACCTTTTAATAATTTTACACTGCAAAAGTGCGTGCGCGCTTTTATAAGTACGAACGGTGGCTCAAAACAGTGTTTACTCCGATTTGTGTTTTTGTCTTGTTTTTGCCTTATTTTCAACCTCATTTATTATTGCTTTTCAGTCGGGCTTTCAAAAACGACTGTTGTACCTCAGTTTAGCGCGCAGGCGGCATCCCTTTTGCTTCGATAGTATACCTCTGCTTTTCTCTTATTTTTTAGTTGTCCTTCCTCAGTTACGCTAGTTTACCGGGGGTGTTTTCTTTTCTTCTTCCTTTTCGGTTTGTTGCTTTTGAGGCCTGCGATCCCCCTGCTTTGGTTTTTTGTAGGCAGCCGTCATATTGGAATAACTTTTCTTTTTATAACGAATAATTCATTTCTTAGTTTTAGCGTCTTTCGCTCCCCTGCTAAATCTAAAACTCCGCTGCACCCTAATTGTCTCGTCCAGAACGCTTTGTCGGCTACGTTTGCTTGCTTTTACCGCTTTTCTTATTTTCTTCTTCTTTTCTTTCTAACAAAGAATTCATTTTCCTCCGCAACCGTGGCATGCGGTTTATTTGCTTTTTTCTCTTTGTCGATTTTAGTCGTTCGGGTAACATCCAATTTTTCATATTTATAAACTCGGAGCAGGGCTCTCAAAACCTTTTTTAATTGTTGAGCCTTAAACCGTATTTAAATCGTTCTTTTCAGACTGCGACATGTCTTCAAACGATGTGCCATCAACCCATGGACGGGTCGCCATGCCGTGACGCGCCTACACGATGACGGCATGATGGCCAAGGACAAGTGGAAGGTGCTTCGGCCGGCATAAGGTTTGTATTTATTTTACGCGGTAACGATGCCATGGAACGGGCATCACCGACGAGATGCGCAACGACATGCTCTGCATGCGTGCCATCTCGAAGGTTACCCGTTTGACCCCGGATGCACGCCACGACATGACGCGCAAGTGGCTCAGGAAAGTCCTGCACCCGCCACTGGGGTTTGGAGCGGGATGAGCAATTTACTCATCCCCCATCTCCACAACGCGCAAATGGCTCAAAGATGCTGGCGAAATAAAGAAGCAGCTCCCCGACCAGGAGCTCCGGAACGCATCGAAAACAGCTCGGCCTATCGTGCCCCTCAACTCCGTCGTCAACGTCATGGCCAACTACGTCCGCGTGAAGAGCCATGTCGACTTGCCCATCTACCAATTCCATTTCGCCTTCGACCCGCCGCGATGGACAACAAGAGCTGGCGCGAAGACATTTTGCGCGGCTATGGCATTTTCGATCACGAGCTCTTCGACGGTGCGATGATGTACTCTCCGGAACGCATCGAAGACGGCTCGGTCTACCGTGCTTCACATCCCGGCGACAACGGCGTCACGGTCCAAGTTACCGTCAAGGTTAATGCCACGTTTGTGCGCAACGATCCGCAGGCCTTGCACGTCCTCGATTTGCTCATCCGCAGGTAATTTATGTTTTCATAATCATTCATGGCCACGAGACAAACGAACGGGTGCCGAAGCAGCCTGGCGGGCAGCCACACATGCTACCTGCTGCCCCAACTCTGCCATCGGACCGGCATCACCGACAAAATGCGCAACGACATGCTCTGCATGCGCGCTATGTCCAAAGTCACCCGCTTGACCCCGGGCGCACGCCTCGACATGACCCGCAAGTGGCTCAGGAAGGTTCGCGAGATGAAGGATCTGCCAGAATTTTTCCGCCATTGTGGCTTCGAGCTGGACGAAGAGTTCATCCACTTTCCCTCACGTCGTCTTGATGAAGAACTGGTACGCTTATACAATTTTCGCCTTCTTATTGCTGTTTAGTGCTTCGGGCGTCGTCCTGGCGGCTACAAAGGTGAAAAGGCAGAATGGGCGCGCCAAGTCAACTCGAATGGTAACTACAGAAGTGCCGCTGTAAACCATTGGATGGTCGTCGCACCGAACATTCAGCAATCGATTACTGCCGCCCAAAGTTCATCGGTGAGCCTTGTAGTTACTAAAATTCTAGCTGAATCCATCGGCCGTCAAATCAACACGGATCAAGCTGACGGCTATCTGGATGTCATCCGGGAGAACCTTGACGAAGCGGGACGACGGAGAATGAAGTGGAACTGCTCGTGGCCATCCCGGAGGCCGACAAGCCGTGCCACGACATCAGAAGACGATCGCCGGGATAAAATTTCCCGATAAGTTAATTTTTCTTTTGCGCAATCTCAGAGTTCCTAGGCGACGCGTTCGTCTGCTGATCGGTCGACCACTAGATGGCGGTGCCAGCAGCTCGGCTCCATTGATGTGAAGATCTTCAAATGAACTAGGTACTCTACTGTTTTGTATTACCGTATTTCTTCGAATATAACCATGAGGGTTATGTTTTCTAACCATCTCAAGGGAGGATGTTGTATTAGAGGGAGGGATATATTGCACGTGATTTTGAGCAAAAACAACTATTTCGAAAAGTTCAAACTGCTCACAACCACTCAGGAACACAGTACAAGGCTTAAACAGAAACTCTTCTGGCACCTTTTACTTCTTAGAGGCAACTTCGAAAAATTGGGATGGGGTTTATATTAGAGGAAATATCGTATATAGGTTTTTTAGGGCTCGAGTGCCCAAGTTGCTGCCAGTGCGGTGGCCGCCGTCTGCTGCAAAGCCAATGCCGGCAATGGTTGTTGACAACGACTTCCAACGTCCAGAAAGCTTGATCAGTTCATAGTTTTTAACAATCTTTTAGGTACGACTTCTACATGGTGAACGGGACCAACGCTGCTCAATCAACGTGGACGCCATTCAAGATGCAGCCAGCAATAACAAGGTACCATACCTTTGCTTTGGTTTACGTATTTTTTTTAGGTTGTGTTCAAACTCGGGCATTTCTACAACAAGAGGGCAGCCACCGTCCTCGTCTCGACCAAACAAAGGACCAAACTGTCATAATATGCCGTAATTTTTCAATGTTCATATAACGTATTTTTGTTAGTAAATAAAGTTTGCCAGAAATTGACGGCAAGCACGGGATAGCATGGAAAAGATACAAACAATGGAGTTTACAAATAGTCATTATAACGGTTCGGGTCGTAGTCATATCGTGGCGGATTTGGATTTATCGAATCGGCCGGTCGTTGCGTCACCTTGCTGTAATCCTTCACCGAGAATGGGAAATGCTCTCTTCTTTGCCACAATAGATCGATGACGTAGATCGGAACCATCAAGAATTCAATGACCTAAACACGGAGCTATTTTAACTTTTTTTTGGGTGGTTTACGGCAGCCGCAATCCATTGAGGTCGAATATGCGCGTAGCCACGTCCTTGGTAGTTATATTCCTCATTAACGGTCAGTGCGGCCATCCAGGCACCAAGGATTCCGGCAATTGGAAACAGGGCGATTCCGGAAAATGCGTAGACTTTTTCCTGCATATGCTTTTTCAGGGGAAATCTGTAAAACCCCACCAATCCATTCATGACTCCTGGTATCCATCGATGGCCATTCATAGCGTAGAGGCACATTATAGGAACCAAAAGAACGGCCATCCAGAGAAAAATGATCAGCACAAACGCCTGGAATTTGAAGGATTTTGAAAAGCTGTAGGTGCATTAATAGATAAGATTGTAACCTACCTGCCCAAGAGCGATATACCCAAAAACGTTCATAATCATCGTGCACGCGTCGTTGCCGCAAACGATTTGGACGAGCCATTGAAGGGTGAATAGAGCTGCCTAAATATAATTTAAATGGTTTGCTATGAATGTAGTTTGTCGTTAAAAGCTTTGGCGAACGTATTGGTTAAAGGGATGCCCAACCTTTTCGCGGCTCAAAAAGCAAACACCACGCCGCGGGCGGGGGTCGAACCCGGGACCCACCATTTTGTAGGCCTGGATGCTATCCATTAGGCCATAGTGGCGAGCCATTGGATGGGATGGGGACGCCACAAGAGGGATAGGTGGCCGAATTCTGTGCGACATTGGGGGCCCATTGCCGCACAAAATTCGAGCGCCATTTGTACTGCCCGGAATCCAGAACTATATATTTGCCGCCAAAACCTTGGGTATCCCTTTAATTATGAGATTGTTACCAGCTGGAACCAACGAAGTAATTGGATGCGATTTGTGCACATGTAGGGGGTGCATTCGATTTCGCCCTCTACGATTTCCTGAAATTTATTCGATCCAAATTATAGCTGTAGTTTTCAAATATTTTAAGGTAGCCGCAAGAGGAGACCTACTAATCATTCTGGAGGACCCAGCCCAGCCGACATCGACCGAATGTATCTCCGCCATACTTTATCCTACAGGGCTATTAGATATACCAAAAACTTTTGTCAGATCAAGATGAACATTTTGGTGTACCTGACAACTCTGTAAGAGTGGCCGAGATACACTAGGGGAGTGTCGGCGAGGGCGAGTCATCTGGAGGGAACCAAAATTTAAGTAAAAGACAGCAATCAAATTAAGGAAATAAGGATAAATCCAATGGTATTAATAGAAATCCATATTTTTGTGACCTACCGTCCCGGGCGGAATATCCGTATAGATTACGGTAGCTTGAGGAGGAGGTGGTGGCCGTGGTGCTATAGGAGCAACGGCTGGCTGCCCCATAGAATAAGGCGTGAACTGCTCCCTTTCCATCATCTTTGCATCTTTTCCGAAAATCGAAGCCATTGAGAAGTGTTGCTGCCTTCAGCTGCTTGGCGTCTGAATCACCCTCTAGCCCGGTGTCGCAAGTAGCCGTAATCGATCGGGTATTGGCTACAGAGGCTGCGATTAGGCGTCTGTTTGTTCGGAAGGCGTAAAGACCGTGATAACGGCCGTGATTTTGTCTCGGCTTCTGAGCCGACTAAGCGCCCGGTAAGTTGCAGCTTATTATCGCGCAAAATTGGGCTGATTCTTGGAAATTAGATACAAAAAGATTGAAAATTTGAAGGATTTCTAGTTCTAGAGAAAAAGAAGTTAAGGTATCAGGTTGGAAATCAGTAATGACACAAAAGCTTTGACCAACGCGAAAAACCCGTAGGAAGGTCCAAGTTTAACGTTCGATACATGCTTCCAAGGACTTGGGATGCCCCAAGACCCACCTAGGACCCAAAAATTTATGGAGGCCAAGGGATAGGCCCGAGAAGTTTTAGAGAAAACCAGGGTTGAAAAGCCGCTTCGCGACTTTTCAACCCCGGCCCCGTCTCGGACCCCATATTATTCTACCCTTTGCATAATTGTCCTCCCTTCAGAAGACAAAAAATAAAAAACAACCCTTTCTGCCTCTTTATATAGGCGACGGCCCACTTCCGGTCTATGCTAATTATTCCTAACAAAGAGGTTTTTACAAAAACTTAAATTTAATAGCGAAAATGTCTAATTTTTAAAAATCATATATGTCTGCAGTGATCCCTAGACCATTACGCACCTAATGACGTATCATACGTAGCCTAATACCTTTCCCTTCTTGAGATATCCTCCGGACAGACATCCGGAAGTGGATGCAAAGTGGCACACACACACACACACAAACACACAAACACTATTTTTTTATATATAGTAGGATTAGGTGAAAGCTTCTAGGCGTCGTATCTATGCATAGACAGATTTGCATATGATACCGCTAATACCGATCGACAGCTCTCGAGAAGTAGATATCTATAGATGTTCAGATCATTAAAATTGGGCCCTGGTTAGCCAAGATATAGCCCCTTAATGCGTTGTCCATTTTTTAGAACCTTACCCGAAATCCCATACATTTGGCCCGCGTGAGGATTCCCTATCACCTGTTCGAAAATCACCTGTTCGAAAATCATCAATCCGGCAGGAACCTGGCTGCCATTCGGCGAAAACCCGGCAGCCGGGTTTCTGCCGGCATATGCCGGCTCTTCACGAATAGCTTTTGCCAGGTTCTTGCCTGCACCCTTCCGGTTATTCGCCGGCCATTTGCCGTGCTTCTGCCAATATAATGCTTCCGCTTCTGCTTCACGATTACATCGTAGGCGACGCCTGTAATCTTGTGCCAATATACTGGTGCTTTATCTTGTCTTTAATTTCGTTTATCACTTACCTTTCGAAGCACGATATTTGGTAGTAGACGTTCGCGGCAACAATCGAACTATAAACTTGCATTAGTTTAACCTTTCTCAGCGTATATGAGCTTTAAACCCATTAAACTTAATTTGAAAGTAAACATACTTTTATAACCACGGTGCTTGAATCCAGGCAGCTAAGCAAAAAGCAGGCGCAGGTTTATCACTATAGGGTTTATCTAGAAACAAAAGGTTAGATTTAACTAAACTTCTCTTGTTTCCTGACGCTACTTCGTCACATTAGCGAAGCATATCGTCAACGTGTAGACTGGTTCATCATAGCCCAAAACTTCCTAGAAGACTAATAAAACTGAAATACCTGGCTCATCTGCAGTCCTTTTTATCTTGTCATACAGGCACATTGAACCCAGAAAGACGGCGGCAGATGTCGAATCCAAACAAAGCTTTATCTGAAAACTTCTGTTAATTTGGCGAGAAATCAAAGTGTTGCCATTAATCAAATAAAAGACCTCTAGTACCAATTCACAGGCTGTGTTCTAAAAACATCAAACGTTTTTCATAAGCTGTATACTTACTTCTTGTCAAAGAACTGAATAAATATAAATTTATGAAAGAAGAAACTTATTATTTAGGTTAGGAGGGCGTTATTTACAAGCGCCGTGACTGAAGAGGGGCGTTAAATACAGGAGGGCGTTAAATACAGGGGGCGTTAAATACAGGCGGCGTTAAATACAGGAGGGCGCGAAAGGGCGTGAAAGGGCGTTAAATACGGGTTGCCCGGCTCGCTGCCGGGTCTGCCGGAATCCTGCCGGCTTTCTGCCGGCTGCCGGGAACTGCAGGTATTTATTCGTAACCCTACCCTAACTTTCGAATTTTTCGGCTTTTCGCTGCCTTTTCTGTGCGCGTTCAGTTCCTGTTAAGATGATCCTTAAAACGGTCTCCAAAAATATTGAACCAAATTGACTGAAAACCCATGATTATTTGTATTTTGAGACGGCAATCATTTGTCTAATATACTACAAAGCACCAAAATCAGGGGAACATGGCTAAATCGCGTTCACTAAACAATTTTTCGGCATTTTCGGCTAGAAAGGTATTTTCCAGCTGTCTGAGAATAGCCCCAAAAGATGCGCCAAACAATTTTGCATCGAATGATGTGTTTTTTACCTCGAATACACCGCTGTTTATGGGCGAAAAAGCGAGAAAAGTGAAATGCTTGTCCGAAACGCCCCCGACCTGGCCCACCCCAACAACATAACCGTCGACGCGCTGACCGGCCAACTAGTTTGTGATCCGCCACCATCAAAAACTATTCTTGAAATGGCGAAGGGGGGCCATGCCAAAAATTTTAGTAAAATTAGATTGTGAATTTCCGGCTTTTTAATTATGATTTTGTATCGATATTAAGAGTGTTAGTATGTTAGTATTTTTATTTTATTTGTTTAGTGCCATTTCCGATATTTTCGCCTGTAAAATTCGGATGTTGCAGCCGACGGATTCTGGAATATGATATAAAATAAAAGGATTTGATCCTTAATACAATAGTTATTAAATGAAGGAAGTTGCCCTAATAGAAGTTTTTTTTATAAAATTTCTCATTGATGCGAATGTATAATTTCAATAAATTTTTATCTGAAAGCGCCAATATAGTAATAATAATATTATTAACCTATTGTTGATTGTGGGAAATTGTTAGGATCAACTCAGATACGAATTTTACACAGAAACAATAAAATTAATCGTGATTTCGTCTTGTAACGCTGGACCTACCCTCAAACTTGGGTAATTGAACCGAAATCGGGCCGACCAGTGGGTGACCCCGGAGGGCGACAGGACCAGATGAACAACTATTGCTTTCAGTATTCGTACCACCTTCCAATAGTTTAGATACTTCCGGGGGTTCTCTTGCATTAATGGGGGGCGAGGGTCGAGCTTCTCGGTGCTTTACAGATTTCAATTGTTAAAAAACGCCACAGACATTGATTTTTCGTTCAACTCTTCATTTTTGATTTGCTCTGTTAAGATGATCCCTTAAAAACGGTCTCCAAAAATATTGAACCAAATTGACTGAAAACCCATGATTATTTGTATTTTGAGACGGCAATCATTTGTCTAATATACTACAAAGCACCAAAATCAGGGGAACATGGCTAAATCGCGTTCACTAAACAATTTTTCGGCATTTTCGGCTAGAAAGGTATTTTCCAGCTGTCTGAGAATAGCCCCAAAAGATGCGCCAAACAATTTTGCATCGAATGATGTGTTTTTTACCTCGAATACACCGCTGTTTATGGGCGAAAAAGCGAGAAAAGTGAAATGCTTGTCCGAAACGCCCCCGACCTGGCCCACCCCAACAACATAACCGTCGACGCGCTGACCGGCCAACTAGTTTGTGATCCGCCACCATCAAAAACTATTCTTGAAATGGGGAAGGGGGGCCATGCCAAAAATTTTAGTAAAATTAGATTGTGAATTTCCGGCTTTTTAATTATGATTTTGTATCGATATTAAGAGTGTTAGTATGTTAGTATTTTTATTTTATTTCTTTAGTGCCATTTCCGATATTTTCGCCTGTAAAATTCGGATGTTGCAGCCGACGGATTCTGGAATATGATATAAAATAAAAGGATTTGATCCTTAATACAATAGTTATTAAATGAAGGAAGTTGCCCTAATAGAAGTTTTTTTATAAAATTTCTCATTGATGCGAATGTATAATTTCAATAAATTTTTATCTGAAAGCGCCAATATAGTAATAATAATATTATTAACCTATTGTTGATTGTGGGAAATTGTTAGGATCAACTCAGATACGAATTTTACACAGAAACAATAAAATTAATCGTGATTTCGTCTTGTAACGCTGGACCTACCCTCAAACTTGGGTAATTGAACCGAAATCGGGCCGACCAGTGGGTGACCCCGGAGGGCGACAGGACCAGATGAACAACTATTGCTTTCAGTATTCGTACCACCTTCCAATAGTTTAGATACTTCCGGGGGTTCTCTTGCATTAATGGGGGGCGAGGGTCGAGCTTCTCGGTGCTTTACAGATTTCAATTGTTAAAAAACGCCACAGACATTGATTTTTCGTCCAACTCTTCATTTTTGATTTGCTCTGTTAAGATGATCCTTAAAACGGTCTCCAAAAATATTGAACCAAATTGACTGAAAACCCATGATTATTTGTATTTTGAGACGGCAATCATTTGTCTAATATACTACAAAGCACCAAAATCAGGGGAACATGGCTAAATCGCGTTCACTAAACAATTTTTCGGCATTTTCGGCTAGAAAGGTATTTTCCAGCTGTCTGAGAATAGCCCCAAAAGATGCGCCAAACAATTTTGCATCGAATGATGTGTTTTTTACCTCGAATACACCGCTGTTTATGGGCGAAAAAGCGAGAAAAGTGAAATGCTTGTCCGAAACGCCCCCGACCTGGCCCACCCCAACAACATAACCGTCGACGCGCTGACCGGCCAACTAGTTTGTGATCCGCCACCATCAAATAACTATTCTTGAAATGGGGAAGGGGGCCATGCCAAAAATTTTAGTAAAATTTAGATTGTGACATTCCGGCTTTCTAATTATGGTTTTTATATCGATAGTAAGAGTCTTAGTATACTAGTATTTTTTTATTTGAGATTTTTAGTGCCGTCGCATTTTTTTTCATGGATGAAAATGTATAATTTTAATAAATTTTTATCTGGAAGGGCCAAAGTGCTAATAATAATATTATTGAGCAATGGTTGATATCGGGAACTCGTTAGCATCAAATAAGATATTAATTCTACCCAAAAACCATAATAATAATCTTATTTTATTTTGTCACTCCGGGCCTACCCTCAAACTTGGGTAAATGAACACAAATGGGGCTAACCTTCCAGTGACCCCAAAAGGTGACAGGACCAGACGAACAACTATTGCTTCCAGTGTCCGTGCAAGCACCTCGCCGTTTTAATGCTTCTGGGGGGTTCTTTTGCATTATCGGGGGAGGGGTGAAGGGAGTATGAAGCTTCGAGGGGACCTTACAAAATTTTTGTTCTAAGGCGCCCAGGAATAATAATCCAAGAATAATGAATTGTGCGAAATTGGGCAATAACCAAAATGCTGTACTTCCGATGTATATAATCCAGAAAGTCCAAGTATTTTTATTTCGTAAAAAATCAGCAAATACGTATATTACTTTGGAATCGTGCGAATGATATGTATGTACATTTTGCGAAGGAAAACATGCCCAGGACGTAGAAATACTTTTTACACGAAAATCTGGTTCGCAAACCACGATTTGACAGACCATATTAAATCGTTTTCTCGCTTCAAAATTGACTAGAAACGTTCTTTTATAAGCTTTTTGTACAGACAATTTGAAAGCATGAAAATATCAAGAAGAAATAGTCAAATGTAAACTTCAGAATCGGTTTCTTGGAACGCGACGTCTTCCTCGAGGGCGTGCTCATTGACAATCGTGAGATCGGGCGGGGATTCTTTTTCTTTTCGCAGAATTCCTTTATTGGGGCACGAGTGGACAAGTGGCGTCTAAAAATTGAAAATATACATATGCTAATTTTTTACAACCTGTTGCTGTACAGTTTCTCCCCGATCCACTGATCTCCATCGTACCATGACGTTTTTCTGGGTCATAGAGATTTCGTCCTCACTAAAATAACTATTAAATCTCTGTTAATAATAAGGGTATATTTTAATATAATTAAACTGCCTCAGATCTAACCTCGAATTATTCATCGGCCCAATCATTATCGAATTATTAACCGACTGGCCGTAGCTGAGGCTGTAAGGACTAAGTTACAAAATTAGCATTTATGGCTTCGAACCTGCTGCTTCTACGACCATTTATTAACTTTACGCACCCAGGACACATTGAAATTGCGTGCCGCAAACAGAAGCAATTGACAATAAAAGCTCTAGTGTATTCTAAAATCATTTTTGGTCAGATTTTTGCCTAATTTGCATACCTGAACTTGCCATACAAAATACATAGAAATTTAAGCAATGGTTGAGTACTTCTAACATATTTGATATGTTACGATAGAGCTGAAAGTCAAAATAAAGCTTAAATTAACTTCTTCGAGTACCTGAAATCCATACAACTTGTCGGTGGCATCATTTTGTAGGACCATTACAAGCATTTGAGGCACATTTCCGAGAATAAATATAAAACATATTGCCACCATCAATACGGTAAGCTTCTTTTCAGTAAAGCTTTTGACGAGGTTTACTTCTTTTCTAAAAAAATATACTATAAGAGTACAAAATTCAAAACAAACCCTAATTGCACAGCTTCAGAATGGTATGCTATTGAACTGCGGTGATTTGCGAATTGTTGGGCTTTTGTAGGCGTTTTCTTGAGAATTTTCCGACGGTTTTTCTGGCAAATTCAAGGTATAAAATTATCATCAAACCCTTACCTTTGCAATCTGCAGCTTCCTAGCGATTATCACATTTAATGCAGCCATCACCAAGACGCAAAGAAATCGTATGCATTCCCGCACGACTTTGTACGTTTGAAATATAGCCCAATTAGGCTCCCTAGGGTTTGGATTTTTTTAATTTGAGGATTAACTCACTTGCATAATAACTCCTTATTATTAGCATTTGTATAACGATTATCCGGTCTGATCGTTATTTGCCTTTGGAAGGCTATCGGTGCGTGAAGAATCAATGCTGCTATTAATGTGAGGGCCACTCTCCTCCGGCACGCTTTTTTCGGGTCTCGAGGTCTTGATAGATGAGGGTGGTTTATTAGAATAAATCTAAAAAATTGATCCTTGCTTTATCAAGCCCTTACCTTTCAATAGTCAACATAAACGCACAGTACAGCCCCGCAATCAAAAATCCGTTGATGAAAATCGCGTCCAGGTAGGTTAGGTAAAAAATGACATAGTAGCTTTCGTAGCCATCATCATCCAGAAGGAGATGGAATACTATGCATGATAAACCGCACTAAAAATCCATTGAATATTATTATATATATATATATATATATATATATATATATATATATACAAAATTAGCTGCGTAATTTGTTGTAAAACTTACCAAGTCGAAGATAGCTAATGCTCGTATGTACATGAATGGGATGGTTTTTAGGGATGGGCATTGGAGGGTGCGGAGGTTTAGGATGTTGCCAATGATGCCGAAAATACAGAGGACGAGCTGAAAAAGAGCGGTTAAATGGATTTTCAAGGTGTCACTGTCCCTTTAGAAAGTATGGTTTTGGATTGTCTTAGGACGAGACTTAGGCTTAAATTTAAGTTTAGCTTTAGCATACAGGCTTAGGCTTAGGCTTCGGCTGAATCTTAGGTTTTGGCTCAGGCTTAGAGCCAAATTAGGCTTAGGCTTAGGCTTAGGCTTAGGCTTATGCTCAGGCTTAAGGTTAGGCTGAGGCTTAGACGAAAGTTTTGGTGTATGCTTAGGTTTCGGCTTCACCTTCGCTTATGCTTGGGCTTTGACCTAGGCCTAGGCTTAGTCTTGTGCTTAGGCTTCGGCATTACGTCTCTGTGTTTACCTGTATATTCTTAAACAACAACTGCAAATGTTCCAGTTCCGGCGGCTTGGCTGCGGTATCATTCGTGAGCGCACAAAAGGAGTTGAAGCTCATGTAATCTGGAAATGGAGTTCTTTGCCCTCGTCCTCAACCCAACGATCCCATGGTCCCGGGGCCACTCCAGCCAGGAAATGGAACCCGCCGACCCCGCACGTCACAACACAGAAATTCGGGGGTGGCTCTTCCCAGTAAATTAAAACAGGTGGAGGGGCCTTTTGCACACAAAAAAGAAAGGCAGGAGGAAGGAGGTTCAGTGGGAAGAATTTTGGTTCCAGGATCAGAAAAAATTGAGAAGATTGTCTAGGATTTATAGACTTTATCACTTTAGCTTAAGGGCGTTTTATTTTTTAAAGGGGCTGGTAAAGGAAAATTATTTATTTTTGCTCATGGATTGAATATAGGTTCTGTAGCGCCCGCGACACTCAAAGCAACATTTTTCGGCTGCTCGCCATAGTCCATTACGCAATAAACGTGGAGGTTTTGGCGCGTCCTCGACACGCAACACGTTGAGTCTTTTGAACGCCTTGAAGTCGTTGAAAACAATTAGGTCTTGGAAAGGGTAAAGCATGCGTCGCGTACCGCGGTCGCGGAAGCACGAAAATCTGTATGTATCCAATCGAGAAATCATCAATCGAGAATTTACTTTATATAGATTGCGTTCCTTAAGCGTCTGTGAAACTAAGAAACCGGGAAGCTAAAAAATCCGAGTAGCTGACCTATGATTAATGCGCTATGGAAATATAGGTATGCAAAATAAGACTACCATCAGCCATCCATACTCTACCTATACCCCAACCCCAAAAATCAGAACCTATAAGCAGTTCCATCGCTGCAGCTCCGTGGCGTCCAAAAAATAGCTGAAGCCCATCGACGTGGATTAAAAATTCTTTATGGTGCCCCGGGGCGGTTGGGCTGAAGGTTGAAGGAGGTCGAGGGAACGGACGGGAAGCCCAACCCACTGAAAGGAAGACCCAGCCCCAAAACCCCTAATTTCCAGAAACCTCCCGCCCTGGGGGCAGTATATAGGGGGTTCGGGAGGATCCGGGAGGAGGAGGAGGAGGAAGCCGAGGAGGAAGAGCTGGAGGATTGAGAATCTGGGGTGGGAATGAAGCCTTGAACATGGCTTGGCAGCAAGGATATTGCTAGGGCCAAGCGAGAAGGGCCAATTTTGACAGAGGAAAGAAGCCGGGTGGGGTGGAAATGCCCTCTGGGGGGCGCCTGATTTGCCGGTGGTGCTCAGATTGCAGCTTGGCGTTTGGCTGCGTCACTGAGGGGGGTTGAAGGATTGGATGGGCAGGGAGGGAGGGATATTTTGGAACGGAAATTCCGGGTTCTGGGGTCGAAGGCGTTTAATTCTGGGCTAAAAGTGGCCCAAAACAGACTACATTTTTAAAGAAACTGTGAAGGCAGTTTCGAGTCGTGTAGATCGAGGTTTAGCAAGAGGTGAATATATATTTGCGCAATACCTTAAAGAACCGCCAATCAATCACATATAAGCGTAATATCTTTTGCCAGGTGTGGAGATTATTTGAAGGGACGTGGACGGCATGGCTTCGGTTTTTAGGCTTAGGCTTAGGCTTAAACTTGGGCTTATGCATCGGCTTGGACAAGGGCTTAGGCTTCGGCTTAGGTAGAATTTTTGGGGTCTTAGGCTTGGCTTGGCTTCGGCTTAAGCTCAGCTTGTTCTTAGGCTTCGGGTTAGGCTTAGGCCAAGGGTTATGCTTAGATTAGGTTTTGCTTAGGCTTGGGCTTGGGCTGTGGCTTAGGCTCAGGCATAGACTTGGGGCTGGGCTTAGGCATAGGCTTGGACTTAGTCTTAGTTTTAGGCGTAGGTTAGGCTTAGGCTTAGGAAGCTTAGCGAACTTTACAGGGAGCGTGACATCTGATTTTCCAGGTGCAGAGCAATTTTTAATGCGCAAGCGCAATATGAATAGATGCAAAGCCTTCAATGAATAAACGACAATGAAGGAGAACCACAAAAAGATATACCACGAGACCTGGCCGAGCTCAATGGGTCCCGGTATCCCACCAAAAGCCCCCAAAGGGCCCTTGAAGCCGTGGAGGGCAAATGGTCAAGCTCGAATCGAGCTGCCCCCCAGCCACCCGTCATCCGACACCAGTTCTGGGCAAAAGGCAGCCCTTTGCTGAAAATGCCTTTTTCTACCGGCACCACCCCCCGAAAAGGGTCTCCAGCCCCGCATGTCGACGAATTGATCCTTCATATGCAAATAGGGGGGCGTCGAGTGGCCTTGGCTGCCTAGGAAATCGAATCTAAATGGCTGGGGGTCTGAGAGGAGGTCGAGTGCTCGTCATGGTTCCTGTAGCACCGGTATTTTGCTAATTTGGGCGTTTTGTTTGGGGGTTGGGGTGGGCAGGTGAAAATCCAATTCATTATAATTCCTTTAAAGCCCCCAGTTTTCAGCTTGAAATAAGCACTTATGCTGTGGAATACAGGGCTAGGCTCCGGCTCGGGCTTGGCTTAGGATGGGTGGGGGGAGGGGGGGGGAAAAGGAAAAGGGTTTGGGGGGGGGGGGGGGAAAAGGAAAAAAAAATTGGGGGGGGGGGGAGGGGGGGGGTTAAAAAAAAAAAAGGGGGGAAAGGGGGGGGAGGGGGGGGGAAGGGGGGGGAAGGGGGTGGGGTGTGGGGGGGGGGGGGGGGGGTTTTTTTTGGTATTATTTTTTCCTCAACCCCCCCCCCCCCCCCCCCCCCACAGGAAAAGAAAGAGAAAAGGGGGGGGGGGAGGGGGGGGGGGGCGTTTTTTTTTTAAGTTCATGCTCAGGCTTAGACGTAGGCGTTAGGATTAGGCTTGGCTTAGGCTTGGGCTTAGGCTTGGGTTACGGCCTGGGCTGCCGTTGTGGCTTAGGCTTAGGCCTAGGCTCAGGCTTCGGCTTAGGCTTAGGCTTAGGCTTAGCTTACGCATAGCTATAAACTAGTATTAAACTAGTACGTAATAAATAGCTCATTTTAAATCTCGATTCTGAGCGAAAAAATCCTACTATGAAGTGAGCTCGAGCTCCCGTCATAGCCCTCGCCAACCCGAAATATACTAATTTAGTCTTTTGTTTAGGTTTGAGGCGGATCGCTAAAAAAAAATATTATTTTTCTGAATAATGGCGCCTGGGGGTTAATGAAGGCCCCCAATTTTCCTTGACCAATCCTTGAATTGCGAATCCACACGCATTGCCCTACACAAATATACATCCAGAAGTGATGGCCAAACATCGGCAGAAATATGGAAGGAGTGGGTTGGGTGGTGGGAGTAAACATAATCTCGGGTCGGAACCCTAGAAGCCTGAGATTTTTGAAACCAGTGGAACATCAGGAGGGGGACGAGGAGGACGAGGAGGAAGGATCTGGGGAGAATGATCGTCATCACGAGGGGATGCGGGGGCTTTAGCTTTCAATTAAGGAAGCGATGAGGGGATAGTAAAAAGGGCAAACAGTTGAGAGGGGGGGGAAAGTGTGATTTAGGGTGGGGAGGAGGGATATTGCGTTAGGGAGAAAGAGATGGACTTTGGCTTCATCAGGGTTGAAATAGTCGTTTACTTAGGCCTAAGCTAAAGCCTAAACCTAAGCTTTGTAAACTTATATATTTAACAAAAACAATAAACCAAAATCATAGAGCTTAAGAAAGTTTATTGACTTTTCTAGCACCCCCTAACCTGCGTCATACCTTAATAAATATTCATACCAAGGGGAGGTGTTTATTATTGCACTTTAGGTGTCAGATGATGTGTAGAAAATTAAGACTACATTTTTAAGGGGTTTGTACATACCTAAAGAGTTATTTCCTGGTGAGTACGAACAAAAACTCGCAACTCTCACGTGAGTAACCCCCGGGCCGACATCTCATTTTTCAACATCCCATTAGCATTAGCTCATGTTTCCCCCAGGCAGCAACAAATTGTTTTAAGCCCCTCCCACCACAAATGACTAGCTGAAAGTACCAAAAACTTGTATAAACTGTATAAACTATTTTAATTATGGCAAACTACGGTACTGAACTGTTAACGGGGGGGTTAGCAGGAGCAACAATTTTCGTTGTTTCGTATATACCGGCTTACTCATAACATATAATGTATTTTATAGCGTTTTAATAGTTGCTAGAAAATCATAAAAATCGGTAAATTTTCTCAAAATTTTAAAAATTGAATTTTCTAACCCATTTTTCGTACATTTTATAATTTTTATGAGTTCATAGCCAAAAGATGTTTAAAATACTAAAAAAATCGGTAAAAAATCGATTACTGCGGAAAAATTGTTTCACCTGCTGACCCCCCCCCCCCGCTAACAGTCCAGTACACTTCAACTAAAATTATAGAAAATATAACTCCCACCTATCAAATGAACCATTCGATGAACCACGACTTGGGCAGTAATTCCAGCCCTATCGACCCAAAGGACCGGAAGGAAGCCAATCCCGAAAAAAAGGAGAAGCAATGAGTTCCAGATGCCCCTAATCGCACTCCCGTGTTTACATTTCGCGCCTGTCTTTACAGGCCCATTTCAGGTTCATAAAAACTTGGGCACCCACCCACAGCCACTTGCCAGCCACCACTCTTTTTATGTCTTTTCCGGTGGTCAAAAATGGTTCTTTGGCATTATCGGGGGATCAACTTTTCCCATATATCCAAAAATGCCCATTACCATATTAATAAGCATTTCATTGTGTTTTTAGTAACATTTTACTATATTTAAAGTGGAAAAAACGATCAAGCGACGCTTAGAAAAATTTGAGCTTAAGTTTTTTATTGAAAATCGGCCATTTTTGGAAGAAAAATCTATATTTTTGTATTTTTAAAGTCTATAAAATTATCTATTAAATGCAATCTACTAAATCAATTAACTTATTAAAGCTTAAAACAATTTAAATTGGATTTTAAGCGAACTTTAAAATTTTCAAGTTAAGTTTTTTAAGATCGCGATATGTAGTTTGAACTGTAGGTATTTTTGTATTTATAAGGTCCATTAGATTGGCTGTCAAATTAAATTATTTATCGAAAGAAGACGACAATCTAAGATATAAATTAGGGTGAAAAAGGGCAACGGGAATTGTTTTGAAGTAATGAGATGCCAGGAGAATTGTTAGACACGAGACAACGGAGGGAACAAGATCTCATCTGGGGTACTGGGTATCGGGTGGGATTGATAACAGAACAAGGAAATCCAAAACATAAGGGAAAAAATTAACGAATATTCACGGGAGATGTCGAGTAATTTAGTCATCGATTGGTTCTTTTTCACTGAAAATAGAAAATTGTAAATTTACGTATAAAAAATATAGAATTTTATTTATATATAATTATATATCACATATAATTATATATAAATAAAATTCTAACTATAGAAAAAAGTTGACCTTAAAAATTTACCCGTCGGTTTCAACACGTCCATTTTCTTTATTCTCAGCCGGGCTGCGAGATCGATCACTAAAATTTTTATTGTTTAGCCAGATAAAAATTACATGAATTAGTCTAAAAAATTTTTAAACGTCCAAAAACCTACCGGCTAGCCGAACGAGAACGAGAGCGCGAGCGCGAGCGGCTGCGAGAACGAGATGGAGTGCGGGAGTGGGAGCGCGAGGTGCGGCTCTTCTTTGCCGTCGGGCTCGCCGAGCGGCTCTTTGAGCGCGAAGCCGAACGCTTGCGCTCCTTGATCGGGGAGCGGGAGCTGAAAGAAGTGGTTTAATTCAAGGTTTTAACGCTCTAAGTGGACCTGTAATTTTGTAAGCTTAAACTTACCGACGGCGAGATCCGCGCGAGCGAGAACGGCTGCGAGAACGAGAGCGCGAAACTGAGCGCGAGCGACGACGGCTGAAAAGTTAAATTATAGGAATTATGTACGGCATATGTTGTTTTAATTTATGACTTCTATTAGTATATAAAATTAACATACCTCCTTGACCGCGAGCGCGAGCGGCTCTCTCGCCCCGGCTCGGAGATGTCCTCCAGCTTCAGGCGACGTCCGTTCACGTCCTTGTCGTCAAACTTTTCTATGGCCCGCTTGATGTCGTGGCGCGTGGCGAAGCAGACCACACTGAAAAATTTCGTTTTAAATGTGCTAGAACAGGTTATATAAAGGTCGATGCTATGATAACAAATCTTAAAATCTCAACTTACGCCTCGTTCATGCGTTCCTTATGCGCATCAGCATACGTCACCTCGCAGCCATCGCGACGGAGCATGTCTTTCAGGTCCTAAATAAATTATTACAATCAGCTATAGCTCTTTAGAAATAGAAAACTTTGGATTCTAAAATGTGGGGCTTTCTAAAAAAACTAATTTCAGGTATCAATTTGATCCCCAGATTTCAGAAAATCGAAAAAGTTGTCCTGATAGCCTGATTTGATGGCAGCAGCTTCCGATTCGACCGGAATAAAGTTTTTCTTTTGGCTTTTGAAGAGCAAAAATAAAAAAAGAAGAATTTAACCGAATACAGTATGAAAGCGGTGTGATCATCGACGACGCGGGATCTCAGCCATACCAAAACGGGGCACACCGCGATGAGACACACACAGAGGACCGGCCCGGCTCAACTCGGAAATGACCCGCGAGATGGCTCTCAGAGAGGGGCTTGTCTCAGGAGGAAGCCGTGAAAAGGACCAGGCACCTCTCTCCCTCCGTGTTATGCACTACCCGATATGGCTTAAATCGGAATCATTTTGTTTGCGAAAAGTTGGCATTTGGGCGGGCGGGGCTCGGCGAGAGGTAGAGCGCGTTTTCGAGGAGGTCAAGGTTTTTAAGATACGTACCTGCCACGACACCCTGGATGACAGGTTTTCCACGCGAATCTTGTGACGAGTTTGGGTTGGTGGGCCATACCTAAAATGGGGGAATTACTGGGGAACCTCGAATAGACCTGGAAAAAATCAGAATTGTCTGGAAAATTTGCGTATAGATAGAGTTGACGCTGCGGATCATCTCTATTTTGAAGAATTTTGCCATTGATCTTTAGAACTCGAAATACGATATCGTCGACTCTATCTTTACGCAAATTTTCAAGAAATTCCAATTTTTCCGGGCTTATTCGAGGTTCGCCTAATTAGCTCGCTGAAAAAACTATATAGGGGGACGATGAAGCCGTTGGCTTCTACATACTTGGGACGCGTCGAAGATCCCGTTGTGCTATAGGTGGGAGAATGATGTAAGGTAGGATAAAAAATACCTTGAGGCGCCTCCGCGGGGTCCGCCGAAGTCGCGGCCACCACGTCCGCCTCCGTACCGATCGTCAAAGTCACGTCCACGGCCACCAGCATTGCGTGGGCCACGGCGGGACATCTCGATCACGACACGCTCTCCACAGAGATCCTTTCCGTTGAGCTCGTAGACCGCGTCATCAGCATCACGATCGTCGGAGAATTCCTAAAATTGTGGTTTTGATTATGTTTTATATAGAAATTAAATGTATTTTTTAATTAACTAAATTTATATTTTAACTGACCACAAATCCAAATCCATCCTTCAACACAACGTCCATGATACGTCCGTAACCACGGAAGAAGTGCTCGATGTCACGCTCGGTGGCACGGTGGGGCAAACGCCCGATATAGACGCGAGCAGAGGACATGATGTATCCTAAGAATTATTATAATTAATTTATACTTTTTGGATACCAATAAGGACAAGATTTGTGGATACAACAAGATTATAACTCTCAAAAAGGAAGGTATCCTTAGATAAAATTCAAGGCAAATAGAAACGAGATTTAGACAGCAAAATTAGAATAAGTAGAGTATAATTAGTGGTTAATAACTTCGAATAATAAATGAATAAGATTCGAAAGTGGCTGTTGTCGCGATAAAACAGCTACTTTCAACCCCGCAAAAAGTGCAAATTGTTGCGAAATAAAACTTGCAAAGATGACTCATCACAAGGAAATCTTTTCGAAAATTATTTCAAAGTGCTTGAGGGATGCTTTAATCAGAAAAAGCCAACTTTCAAAAAACAATTCATCAAAAAATCTTGCTAAAAATTCGAATATTTAGGATGATATTTTAGGGAGGTGGTCTCGGGGGTGGTGAGGAAGTATGAATGACAAGAGATGCGAGCAACTGGTAGGGGCTATCGAGCAGATATGACCTTTATGTTGTGGCCATCTGCGACACGAGGCCCCCGGCACTTTTTGGGGCTCCCCGTCCCGCTTGGATAGGAAATGGGGCCGGGGCCTCCCGAATCGATTGGTTGGTTACGGTAGAAAGAGCGCGAGATAGGCGGCAAGAGCGTTTCGCTTTCGATGGTGAATTCAAATTTTGGGGTTAGAAAAACGGGAATTCACTCCTGTATGAAAATAACCAGCTAATTCAGACTACGATAATATTAATTTTAAGCACAGGTCTAAAAGCTTAGGCATAGCCTCAAGATCTCTGGCGCAGGCTGAGGCACAGGCTCAGGCTTAGGCTCAGGCCCAGGCTTAGGCTAAGACTTAGGTTTAAGCAGGTAAAGCAGTACGCGAAGCCCAAAAAGGGTGTATATTTAAGGACTAAAGACCCGGATTTACGTAGCGTAGCGTGTAGCATGTTGTACTCGCATCTAGACATTTTTATGTTTTTTTTTGTGCGATTTCTACAACTTCCCAAAACCATTTATTACCATTTCCGGGACATAGAAATCTTTTATAAAATTCCAACTCGGAATTAGATAGCTTTTTCCGCTTCTCGCATTGATTCTCGCAGAGCCGTCACAAACCGATGAACATCAGTGTAATTATTGTAGAGATGCACCGGGCTGCATCGGATGATGTAGGGGTATCGCTTGTCTACCTAAAATAATTCTATTCTAAGCTACGCCATAACTTTCTTACAGCTACGCCTCGCCTCAACAACTCCTTGAAGATGACGTCGATGCTGACGTTAAACTTTAGGGATAGCTAGAAGAATGCATTAAATTTGCAATTTTTTGATCTAAAACCTGGCAGCCACGTTCATGGAAGTTTTTTGGAGTAATGGATTTACACCAAATTTTCGATTCTCGTTTGCTGGAATCTTCGGAGCAGAATTCCTAAATATAAATCGATACTATAAAACAAATCTAATGTACTTAATAGAAACTATGAAAGTTATTTACCTCTAGAAGATGCTCAAGGTATCCAGTAAGGTACATAGATTTGCTGCGTAGTTCCTCCATAGTCACTGTTTTAAAGACCTATAAATAATGTATAAAATGTATAAAATTACACGATTATAAACGTTATTAGATTTCACCGAATTGCGGTAGCAAAGAAATTAGAAATCACCTCCAACATTCCGAGAACCGGAACAACCAGAAAAACTGGTGGATTACTAATCCGGTACCCAGCGGCTCCCACATCCAGATCGAGCTCTGTACCATACCTTAGTGTTTTAATTCAATATTTATATTACTATTATCCATATTAAATCGCGTCTTCATTTTGTGACTCCACCAGCCGAGCATCCTTTCTCTCTTGTCCTCCTTGAAGCGCTCGTGCACAAAAATTCCAGCCAACCCTCCGGCTCCTGTACAGAAATATCTAAAATTCCGATACTTTACGATAACCCGTTTTTTACGAACTTATACGAGCACCAGGCTGCAAAATCTACATCCCAGAAGTGAAGCTCTAGAGGGACATTTCCAAAAGCGTGAGCAAGATCCCAGCCAACAAGGCAACCCTAAAAATAGAAATGAAACATCCTACTATCCAAAACTTACTTTTTCATGACCTTTCTTGGTAATAGCCGGAATATCGAAAAGTTGTCCAGTATAATATTGAATTCCCGAAAAGAATACAATAGCAATTTCATCGCCATTTTCCTCGATATATTCAAGAATATCTTCGGTCCGGAGGGTTTCTTCGCCTTCCCTTGGTTCTAGGCAAACCTAAAAAATAGATAAAATCTTTTTCTTCTAAATCCACAAAAAAATTGGATTTAATAATATAATTAAAACATTAGGGTTATAAAATTAAAATTTAAATACAGTCATAAAACTAAAATACATACCATTGAGTCCTCTACAGTACGACCATGTAGCCTTAATTCCGATTCAATAGCATAATGATCAGAGGGAAATGCTCTAGATTCAAGCAATATTTTATGACGTTTATCGGTCGGTTTGTAAAATGCTGTCTAAATTTCTTCATAATTTTATATGTAAATTCATACCAATAAAACATGAATATTCACTGTAAGCCCATTCATCAGCGCCACTTCTTCCGGCTTCCCTCCAACAATCCGGGCCACACCTTCTAGGGCGCACTCATCTCCATGAGCCCACGGCACCGGCTCACTCAGATGCCCATGCACTCCACTACGTTCCAATTAACGGGCGTACTAACACTCACTGCTCGCCCCACTTCGTGAATTGTTCTTGCATCAGGATTGGTGTGGCCTTCGGCATTAGACCCAAGCTATTCCCGCACATGTATATACAGTCTTCTTCTGGGTCCACCAAGCTTAGATCGACTAGAAAATGGTTGAAATTTTAATGCTTTCGCGTTATCGGGGGGGAAGATGTTTCCTATTAGTTAAATGCCTAGTAGCGTGGTAAGATGTATATTAGCGTGTATTTTAATGATTTTAGCAAGCTAACCTATATTTCAAGTGCTAACACTGTCTACAAGACTCGGAAATTTTTTAAACTCCGTTATTTTTTACCCCTAAAACGAAGTTTTGTAGTTTATTATAAAAATTTCTTTTCTCTTTATCAAGTCCAGATGCTTAAGACTAGCAACAAAACTATTTTTGGGGCAATTCTTTTATTTAAATTACAAAAATTGGGTCCTGAGGAAAAGTAACCCTCCGAACCCACCCCCATTAATGGAAAAGTACCAAAAAATTTCATAGTTAATTGGAAATTACGTGAATAAATGTAGTTAGGTATCTAACGTACCATGAGGTAGCTTCGCATTTTTGGGATAGACGAACTGCTCCCGAACGTGTTTCAGGGAGCACGAATCAGTCAAAATATCAGCAAGTTCACGTGAAAAGACGTCGACTCCATGTTTTGCGGCTTCTCCCTCCAGCCATTCGGTGACAGCTGCCTGTGTTTTTGCTGCCATTTTTTTACTAAAACGGTAGATGGAGTTTTTAAAAATTTTCTGTTTTCTACAATTTTTAAATTCTGAAAAAATAACGCAAGAAAAAATAATCCAATTTAAAAGTATAAATTTGTCTAGAAATGCCGAAAATAGCTACCGAAACAAACAAGACGTGCTAGAAATCGAAAAAGATGGCCGGTCGTATGCAGATGGAATGGGCGATAAGACGGGGAGACCACTCGATCGGGGCACACAGGTGTGAAAATCTGCCATGTGGTGCTGCCGTGCGAAGGTTTGACATTAAGTTGATGGCTAGAGGAGTAGACTAGTAATATTGGACCGTATTTTTCTCTAATAAAAACAATTTCTGGGGTAAAACAAATTTTTTAATCTTTTTCTTTGTGTTGTTGGAGTTACCAAAAATCCGTGGAACCACACAAAATTGGCCTAGGCAGGAGTTAATTATGTACCCAATAAAAAGAGCAATAAAAATAAATTATACATAAAGAATTTCCCAAGAAAAAACCAGAAACTCGACCTCCTCTGACGGTCCGGAGAAAGCTCGTAATGGGATGTTTTTTACAGAAGAAAAGACCAGAAAACAAGCGGTTTTTGTTTTATAAAATTTTTGTTTAAAAAATAAAAAAATAGAAAAAAGGGGGGGGGTTTTTTTTTGAGGGGGGAAAAAATTATATTTTTTAAAAAAAATTTTTTGGTTTTTTTTTTATGGATTTAAAATTATAATTAAAATAAAAAAAGTTTTTCGAAAAAAAATAGATTATTGCCACTTGAAAATACAGCTTAAATCGCAACGTTTAACCCTGGTACAATAAACACACTGTGCGGCTATACCAAAATCAGATGCCATCAAATGAGATATTGCATCGCGTGATCGGTACCCCCCATCCTCTCGCCCCATTCATTGATCATTCTTTCTACGAAAAAGGGCACAAGGTCCCCCGTGCTCTATTCCCCCCATTTACCCATCGTCCATTAGCCCCCTCTATACCCCTCTCATCATCACCATCTACGTTCTTTCTTTCTTCTTTCTCTCTATTCCGTATCCATCCCTATATCCCTCTCTTTTGCCCTTTTTTTGTATTTGACCCCTTATCAGAAACCAAGGGAGCTGTGCCCCCCGCGCCAGCCGCTATCCCATGATTTGTCTAGTCTTCGCTTTTTTCGGGCAAACAAAAAAACAAACGTTTCGGTGATATGGTTAAGGGGACGGGGACGGTTTGTCTAAAGATTTGGTGCGAGTTTGACACAAAATACGCGTATATAATTTTATTGCGTAAAATTTTCAAGCTGACAGACGCGTCGCGTGTCGCGGCGACGAGGATCTTAAAGCCATTTGAAAACCTCATCCGAAAAAAATTGGATATTCGCTATCCCTTTAAGCGATGCCTGGGTTAGCTAATTTTTTAGAAGTCGCGAAAATTCGAGTAGAATGCCCTAGCCAAAAAAACCATACCCATGGCTTGTCAATCCCTTCAAATGACGCGCGTTGCGTGCCGAGGTGACAACGAAATCTAATCCAGGGAAAATCTAGCGAATCCATTGCCAGAAATCCGGAATATAGCATTGTCAATCCCTTTAAAAAGCGTAAAATTTTTATAATTGTAGTTTTCAATCAAAAACATTTACATAATACATATTTTGCGCATCTTATTGTCTATTTTATTTATCATATAAAAGCCTACAAAAAGATATGATCCAAATACATCATATGCATAAGAATGAAAGAGAAGGAGCTGAAATACAGTGAGAATTCACACGCATAGCAAATAAAAAGGCATAAGCTAGGCGATAGGAAACTTCTTTTTTGCAGTTTGGACAGGTTGCAAGAGATAGATAACTAGACACAAATCCGATTTTTTTTAGTTAAAATCGGGCAACCGTAATCCGGCGTGGGCCGGGGCCATTGGAGCTGTAGGCTGATGGGAGCCGCCGGGGGAGCAGATAGCTAAAACAAGAAAGTTTTTCTGGGGGGTTGTTTGTGGCTGACGGCGATAGCGAAAAGATCTTTAGTTTGTGTAAAAATGAGTTCCCTCCTTTTCCTCTTTACATCGTTAGGACGCCAAAAACGGAACGGACCTACCGCTGCACAAATAGAAATTCCAAATACCAAAAAATAATAGTTTTTCTGAGGTTTAAAGGTATATTTTTTGTGGATTTCCTCGCGATACGCAACGCACGTTTCGTAATGCGTATGCGTTGCGTTTCGCGGAAAAATCAGAAAAAATTAATGAAATCATGTTCTGGCAGAATGTCGAAAATAATAATGCCGAAATTAAGAGAATAATAATAAGGCGAAATTCCATAAAGTCGAAATGGAGAAAATAATAAGGCCAAAATTGCATAACGTCGAAAATGAGAAAGGAATAATTCCGAAATTTCATCGAAATATCACAATCACCTAAGGATGTCGGCATTTGTCGTAGGATGTCGGCATTTTGTGTTTCTAATCTTGACGCTATGGAATATCGATATTCAACCCCCCGTCCTGCCCGTCCCTTTAAAATATTTACCCGTATTTTCGCTTCCCGTTTTCTTCATCAAAACCTCGTCGCATGAAAGTGATAATGTTCGATACCTTAAAAGAACCCTTTTATAATTTTTTAAGAATATACCAAAGTCCTCCACGCACTCAACGTCAACCTCTGCTTATGCGCTTCCCATTCAACAGCAGCCTGGGTCATACATTCCGCGAATGTTTCCCAATATATCGGGTCGAAACCACGGCCCTGGAACGCGACGTGACGACGCCCAAGGCTCTAAATTTCATTAGTTTTTAAGTTTTATTATTTTTTTGTTTAGCCAAAAAAATTACGTTTTTCAATCTTTTTTATGACCCCTACCAGACCCTGCAATAAAAAGAAATGTTCAAACACCTCCTTCCACCCCTTTTCCAATCCCCCCTTTCCGGTGCTCCATTCAGCCAAACACTAATCTCGGCGAGTGGTCTGCACTGCCTCTCACCTCAAAGTGCTGTTCGATTTTCTCCGGAAATTCGATGTTCTTGATCACGTATTCGAAGCTGCGGGTGAACACCTAGATGATGGGTTAATGTCAAAATGTCGAATTTCATAATGTCGAAATTTGAGATTGCCGAAGCTCATAATTTTGAAATTTCAAAATACGGCGAAATTTCGGATTATCGAAACCTTATAATTTCAAAATTTCATAATTTCGACATTTTAGAATGCCGAAACTTTTAAATGCCGAAACTCCAGAATCTAGAAATTTCCAAGATTTACAAATATCGCGGAAAATCTCCCAAATGCTATGCAAAAATTTCGGGATATTGATGTTTCGACGTCGACATATTGATGTCGGCATTATGAATTTCCGACACAATGGCTTTTGGGCTTCCGATAGAAAATTCAAGGTGATCAATCTCTTCTAGATATTTTAAAGCAAACCTGCGCATGCTGCCGAAATCGAGGGTCATATTTTAAACGGCCCTGCGGGATTTTCTCGAGACCAAAAATCGGCTTGATATCTGGTTGAGCGGTCAGCACCATAAGGAAGATTTTTGAGCCGACGTGCTCGGAACCGGTCTAAAAATTGGATTTTTAAATATATTTTATATAGACACAACTTAAACTATAGTAAGTATAATAATAATAACCCACTTTCTTACATTTCTTCCAGCTGTGCTCAAGCAAAATTCGCTCTCGACGAGTTAAAAAATGGCTGACTCTCTCAACACATAAAGGTCGAGCCAAAGCCGATTCATAACTTGTGGATTTCACTGGGCAAACTGAAGTCGATGGCCCTGGTTCTCCGGGATCCCTTAAAATTTGCATAATGGGGGATTTGACGAGTCAAACCCTTCGCTATGCGCGTCCATGGCTGATACCCCAGAATCGACACTTCCCTCCATATAACTGCAAGATGGGCTTTGGACCATTGAGACGTCCAGCATTTCTTCATCTCGGGGTGGATCGGTTTTGGAGACGCGTACTAAACGATAGATTAAATTGGATATAACGCAATTCGTGTCGAAATTCATAATGCCGAAATTTCATGATGTCGGCATTTTTTTCATAGTAATTTAGGGGTTTCCCGGGAGATTTGTTTATGTAAATTACGAAATTGTATGTCGAAAGTTCGTAATGTCGATATTCATGATGCCGAAACGTCCTGATGTCGGCATTTTTGCTTACTATTGAGGGATTTTTTCGGGAGATTTATTTATGTAGATTGCGCAATACTAGAATGTCCACATTCTGAAAGCCGACGTTATCAATCTCGGTATTTTGAATTTCGAAATGATGATTTTCGGCGGTTTGAATTTCGTCATTATAAAGGTTTGACATGCTAAACTTCGATATTTTGTATTTCAGCATTTCGATTTTCAGAATCTCGACATAAACCTGTTCTTATCGAAGCATTAACGATTTTTGACGCCCTAATGACCTTTAATCCACTTTTAATTAATCATCAAATTCGTCTGATCCATTGAGCGAAAAGTTCATAGAATGATTTCCCATTGAACAAGCCCTAAGCTACGCTTATCCCATTTTCATTCTTTTTCTTGCGGAGTGATCGTATTAATGAAAAAACACGAGCCGAGCGGCCTCCTCCCCATCCATTTGGAATGTGAATGGCATCTCGCGTGCATCCCTGATGAGCCCGATAATTAATCGGCTGCGATGTGTGGAGGGTTAAAGGGTTTTGGAAGTCAAATTAAACCATACTAGAGATCTAGAAAATATAAACATTACAACGCGCTCAAAACTTTAGAATTTATTTATTATTTTTATATATCTTCAACTATTTAAATCTTCTTGTTATATATCTAGAAAAATGATCAAATTAAGCATAGATCCGGTTAAGGCCACTAGAATTTATCTACTATTTTTTCACCTCCTAAGCTCTTTAAATCTTTTGATACATCTAGAAAAACTTATAAAAGAATTCTCGAAGGACCAAAGCCTATAGGACTCATTTAAAATCTTCAAATAACTTTTTTAGATTGATTTACCATTTTATAGAATTAGAAAATTTTTCGAATTTAGCACAATTTTACCAGAAGCCCCCAAAATTGGTTTACTATTTTTTTAAGTTGAGACCATTTTTCGATACCTTTGTTCTTCCTCGGCGGCGGTCTCTCAATCTTGTAGCGCATCTCGGCCAGCGTCGGCTTCTGTTTTTTGCTTTGATCGGCGCCCATTATGGTAAATAATTCGGGACCCGGCTCCTGAAACGAACGACCCCGATAAATCGGTCAACAAAACGAGCTGAATGAAGCGGAAACGGTCCCTGAATCCGGAAATCCGTGAAACGTTCTTTTGTAGCTGGAATGGGAATTGCAAAATAAGGAATCGAGTGAATTGCCCTGAGGGGTTCGGGCCGGCCTTTATAACCACTGTGCCGCATTAGCACCGGAAATCCGATTCATAGTCGACGGAATACGTCGCGGGGTTCTTGACGGCAGGGGTTGGAAAAGTTGATTTGGGTTGTTTGAATTAGAGGCAAGAGACTATAGCTATAAAGGTAAGTTAATATGTGGATAAAGCTTTTTAAAAAAATCCCCTGAAAATTAAAGCCTAAGGGACAGCTCCACATCGATAAAACAGAACTCAAAGCGCAGCTGAAAAATAATTAACTGATCTAATAGAAATAAAGCGCAAAAAGGCCAGCATTGAATTTTTAGATAAACTTCCTGGAAGATAAAATACGATCTAAAAAGCATGGAAAAACCGCGAGAAACTCTTCCTAAATTAAAAATTAGCTGTTTAAGTCTGTAACGATGAAAAAGACCCGGCAGAGAATGCATGCCTAACATGCACTCGCTAAAATAGAACGTGAAAAAAACGCTAAACTTCTTACCAAAAAGACCAGCTTCTAGGTTCGAACTCAACTTCCGGGTCAAAAAAGGTAAAAGTCTAGAAAACGCTAAAAAACGCCTAAAAACCAATATAAAACCAACATTTATAGTTTCGGCCTCTCAAAACTCAATCCGCTCCCCTCCCAAAATTGCACCTGCTAAAAATTTGACGAGCTTCTAGTATCCAGCGCAACTTTCACTCCCAGATATTCCAAAAGGCGTATCCCATCCGCCGGAAGCGATATTCGTCATGCCCCCCCCGAATTGAATTCGTGCGCCCAATGAGCACTCAACTTCGAAAGAGCCACCCCAAAACAGCTATTCCACCAGTACTCCCCTCACCAACCCCACTTTTTAACTGTCTCCCGTTCCTTTTTATCGTTTTCAATTAGGAATTGGGGGTCTGGTGGGGTGGGGGGTGGCGGAGTGGGGAATCCCAACCGGAATTTGGATGGCCTTAGGTGCCCGGCGGAATTCGGGTTAGGTTGAAGCTGTTGAAAAACAGGATATCGAAAACAAAACGTCGAATTTCATGATGTCGAAAAACATAATGTCGAAAATTGTGATGTCGTAACCCATCACATCGAAATTTCATGGTGTCGAAATTTCAGAATAATGAAATTTACATAAGCAAATTTCCCGGAAAACCCCAAATCCTAGGTAAAAAATTCGACATATTGAAATGTCGACATTATCACACTTTGACATTCTGATATTTCGACCTTATGAAGTTTCGACGTTATGAATTTTGATGTTGCGAATTTTGCCATTTCAAAATGTCGACATTTTGAAAATTCGACATTATGAATTCGCCATTCTTAAATTTAGACATCAGAAACTTTTGACATTAATTTGCATAAAAATCTCCCGAAAACCCCTTAAATACTATGAAAAAATGCCGAAATCATTAAATTTCGGCATTATAAAATTCGACATTAAGGTTTCCAACATAATAAAACCAAATCCACCAGTGCCGCCCCACCCGACTTTTTAACTTTCTTCCGTTCCTTTTTATCGTTTTCAATTAGGAATTCGGGCTCGGTGGTGGAGTGCCTGGAGTGGGAATTCCAACCGGAATTTGGCAGACCCTAGGGACCGCCGTGGATTTGGAGGCCTTGATGGCACAGAACAGAAAAAATAGAAGGAAGAAGAAAGGGAGTCTGGAATGGGCCACATAGCCAATGGATGGAAATTTAAAGGAAAACACGAAAAATAGAGGATAGACGGGGGCAAGAATTGCGGCATAAAGAATTCGTGGTGTGCGGGGAACAGATTGGGGGCCTGGCGAAATTTGTCTTGGGCCGGAAAGGGTGTTGGCTCGAGACGGCTTCAACCCCCCGAAAAAAAGCGATCTCAATGGGCTTTGTCAGCTGGGATTTTTGAACCCCCTTTTTGGGGGCTAGACGAACGGGAAGCGATTAAGGGAATTTTTTTGGAGGGTTGAAGTCTAGTGGAAAAGGTAAGTTGAACTTAAAATAATTGTAAAAAACTAATAAAACAATTAAAAGGTTGAAGGGCCTAAAAGCGGTTAAAGGACTTAAAAAATTATTACTCTTTTAAGTAAAAATTATTGGAAAAAATGCACTGGTACCTTAGCGGGGGGTGGGGCGGTATCGGGGGAAGGGGAGGTCACACCCACTTTTTTGCCTGTCTCAGTAGGAATATAGGGGTTGGAGGGATTGATAGTCCCCCCCACTAACTCACCCGTTATCCAAAAATCTTTCAAAATACTCCCAAAATGAAAATTTCAATTTTTATTTTGAAAAACATAATCAAAGCGAAATTTTAAATTGGATTGTCCCCCCAAAAAGGTGATAGAAGTCGGCAGAATTTAGCTAATTTTTCGGCCTTAACGTCAGCAGAAAGAATCGGAGCAACACCGCCTAAAAAGGCTAATATCAAGCCCGAGAGGTATAACGGGGAGCCCGAAAGAGAGTAGTAAATGAGAACGAGGGTCCCACGAAGGCCCCCCCCCCGGCAGTGGATGGGTGTCTCTCCTCCCCCGAATGAGCGGCAGAATGAGCGGCACCGCACCCCGCGGAATATCGTTGAAAACGAGGCGAATTGGCTCGCTCCGCCCACAATCTATAGACGACCTAAAAGGGTGAAAGGTTGATGTTGCTCTTGAATGGAACTGACGATAAAGCTGAATGACAAGCATTGAAATTTTGGTTATTAATTACCGTTCTGAGGAAATGAGCGGAAAGTTGAGTAGTCCTAGAAAAAATAGGGTTATTTTTAGACATTCTGAACTTTATCTAAGTTAGAAAAATCAAAATTATCGGAATTGGCTTTGAAAAGCGCAACGAAACGTTGCATGGACCTAGATAATACAACGTATGCAAATTTTAGAAAACAGGTACGACAAGTTCCGCTAAGAAGGAAAGTTAAGAAGCTAAATAGCAAGTTTCGTAGCTTAATATTTTAAAACCAGCCGATTACAGCCGCGTCGCGGCTGTAATCGGCTGGCCTTCGGGCCACCTTCCATATTCTACACCACCACATTCCTTCTCTAACTTTATCAATATCCGTGCTGATGGCTTTAGATACCCCCCATAGCCGAAACCCCTTTAAAAATACCTTCCGGAAGGCTTTAAATACCTCCCCTAGCCGAAATCCCCTTAAAAAACTACTTCGATACCTTCCTGAGGGCTTCAGATACCCCCATAGCCGAAAAGTCCTTCAAAAATTTCGTAGACACGTTCCTGATGGCTTCAGATACTCCCCATGGCTGAAATCCCCTTCAAAAACTACCAAAATACCTTCCTGATGGCTTGAGATACCTCCCCTAGCTGAAATCCCCTTCAAAAACTACCTAAATACCTTCCCGATGGCTTAAGATACCCCCCATGGCTGAAATCCCCTTCAAAAACTACCAAAATACCTTCCTGATGGCTTGAGATACCTCCCCTAGCTGAAATCCCCTTCAAAAACTACCTAAATACCTTCCCGATGGCTTAAGATACCCCCCATGGCTGAAATCCCCTTCAAAAACTACCAAAATACCTTCCTGATGGCTTCAGATACCCCCCATGGCTGAAATCCCCTTCAAAAACTACCTAAATACCTTCCCGATGGCTTAAGATACCCCCATGGCTGAAATCCCCTTCAAAAACTACCAAAATACCTTCCTGATGGCTTGAGATACCTCCCCTAGCTGAAATCCCCTTCAAAAACTACCTAAATACCTTCCCGATGGCTTAAGATACCCCCCAGGCTGAAATCCCCTTCAAAAACTACCAAAATACCTTCCTGATGGCTTCAGATACCCCCCATGGCTGAAACCCCTTCAAAAACTACCTAAATACCTTCCCGATGGCTTCAGATACCCCCCATGGCTGAAATCCCCTTCAAAAACTACCTAAATACCTTCCCGATGGCTTCAGATACCCCCCATGGCTGAAATCCCTTTAAATAACGATTTAAACTTAAAATAAATAATTAAAAAGTATTAAAAAGTATTAAAGTAACTCAAAAGGCACCGGGAAGGGCCTTGGGGAAGAGGCCGAAGAGAAAGGGGGCGTGGCCTGCCGGGGGAGAGGGCCCCCACTGTTTATTAAGGCGCCACTTTCAAAGTTAATTATTTTGATTTAAACAAAAACTTTTTCATAATGTTTTGATCATTTAAGGGGTTTCTAACCACGCTCTATCCGAATCCGAAGAGAGCTAAGCCAGCTCCTTTCCCCTTCGAGTTATAGTTGGCTTCAGACAGACTGACTGACAGACTGACGGACACCACAGCAAAATTATTATAGTTGATAATTCTTTAGCTGAAAGTTGCGTAGTCATAAATGTAACTGAATGATTTATGGAAATTCAACACAGATGCAGATTTTGAAAAATATGTTAGCGTTAAATTGAGGTTTTTAGAAGCTAAGAAAAAGTTATATAAAACGTTATATAAGTTGAAATTTTACACATCAAGAATGATTTATGGAAAATCACTATTTATGTAAATTTTAGAAAACATGAATATGTTTAACTTTCGTTTTAAGCAGTTAAATTTTGGATTTTAACACTTAATATTTAGAAAAAGTTGCGTAAGAACATAAATAAATTCATATCTCTATGCAAATTCCTAGAACGACCCAAATACACTTCATTTAAATAATGTTTTCACAAACAAAACCCCGAAAAGAAAAACTGGGAGAGTGGCCACTTCGCCGAACTTCCTGTTACCGTCTTGGGGGCCCCCAAAAAATTATGCACGGCCGGCCGCTTCGGGACGCCAAAATAAGGCGATCCCGTGGAGGTAATGAGGCGTCGATCTCCTCCAAATGACTCTAAATAACTCGGGAGGGGCCACGAAATACGAGATACACCTCGTTACGTGGGGGATGTCTAGCGGAGGAGGAGGAGGTGGAGGAGTAGGAGGTGGTGTTGTTACCAAAAATAAGTCTGGCACCAAACCACAATTTTCCGGATTATTTTAAACGATTTCGAAAACCATAATGCCAAAAAACAATGCCGAATATCATAATGGCGAAAACTTGAATGTCGAAATTTCATAATACCGAAATTTCAGAAAATCGAATTTTATACTTACATATTTGATAATGTCGAAATTTTATAAAGCCGAAATTACATAAACAAATCTGGCAGAAGAACCCCTAATTAATATGCAAAAAATCCCGACATTATAAAATTTCGACATCAGGGTAGCCAACCATAATTTTGCGAGTGAAAAAGACAATAGTCAAAAAAATTCGTTAAAAACATCCACTTTAGTTTTGCAAAAATGTTAATGATAGCCCTTACTTTGACGTAAAAGAATTGGACGATCAAAATACGCTAATTATCTATATTTAAATCCAGATAAAAGGCCAAAATACCGGCACTGACCTATCTCAATTAGACACCAATTATCTTTGCTTATCTATCAAGGGAATTGAGGTAATTGTTGGCATCTGGCCAATAATTGTTATTAAAAAATGCTGCGCATCCATCTGACGATCCGCATCCGTCATTCCCAGCCCCGGGGATGAAGCGATAATTAGAGATGGAAAATACGCAGACACAGGTGCTATTTTTCTGGGCTCTCGTGGAGACTCGGATTAGAGAGGCCGTCACTACCACGAGAGCATCTTTTTCATTGCCACTGCCACGGATTCCGGGATTCCAATGGAATGGAGAACAACTAGAAAAATGGAGGGGAAAGGGATATGCCGGAATTATAGGCCAAAAAGCTAGTCAGGGTATTCAGGAGAGAAGCCATGCCTAATCTGGCAGAATTCCATCAGGAAACCTTGCATTGTGCTTTGAGGGTTTGGGGAGATCTTTGGAATGTGGAGCTAGAGCTTTTTCTAAAATTGAACGTTTCATGAAAATAAACGTTATGATATAAGTAGAGAGACCGAAATTTTGCAACCCAGCTCCGGCTGCCAGCTACTTTCGAAGCGGATTTTACGCAAAAATTCAACATCTCTGTAGGATAGAATCGAAAAAGAATTTTCGATATGCTGTGAAAATTTCGTGGACACCAGAAACACCACCAGTTCTTTTACAGCAAACTAAACTTCAAAGCTAAGAACATTCGCAAAAACTTCAGCATTACTATTTTTAGAAGAACAGGCTTCATAATAATAATTGTAATATTAAGTTTAATTGTGCATCACGGTATTCGAGTACGGAGACAAACCACGACTGGGCAAATGCACTGGCGCGTCTTTCAGAACGCAGCATATTTTTCTGGTATCTATCAAGGTTATCATAGTGCCACTATCTATATTTCAATCAAGACTTATTACCTAGGCAAAATTTTGCCCAAATGCGTGTTATCTTGGCGCTCATCTGCTCACCAATTCGACTCTTCCAGATATTGTCGAATGTTACCGAACGGTACTTCCGAGGTCGGGTTGGGCTTTTCCGAATATTTTTCAGATGTTCCCGAAAGCGACTGCTCCTCTTTCGGATTTTGCGAAGGTATCGGGCTGAGCTAAATGTCACATGCTAGCTGATCGTGACTAGTGAGATCCAAAAGGTCCCCCGATTCCCCGATTGATCGGTGGGGCATGGTCCATTTTCTGGTGCAAGATATGTTCCCTCGCAACACATCCTCTTTCAGTTGGACAGCATCACAGTCACCCCACTCTCATACCACGTGTGCTCCACGAAGTCGCCGGCAAATTTTTCCTTCCTTATCTTTTGTATGTGTTTGCGGATATCGCTTTCTTTATCTATGGTAGATGTCAGCAGCTTTACGAAATTCAGCAAGCTTGATTTTAGGATCAAGGCCGATTACGGTCGTCTCTTTAAAACATGGGCAATACAAATACGTTGCCGGTGGTCTCACAGGTAAAACGCTAGCAACAGATGAATCCGTAAATAACCTGACATAGATCAAGTCCACCGTCCAACTAGTGACCGGCGATGTGAGAGGAGCACTGGAGACTCAAGAAAAGTTTCTGCACGAGTGTCCTGGGGTGGCGCAGGTAAAGAAAGTGCACCCACGTGCACTCGTTAATAACCATCACAAGGCTTGTAGTTGACGTCGGTCGTAGAATTAGTTGCCACTGATGACGTCGCCAAGTTCAAAGAAACGAACCTTCGCAGCGTGAAGACATTTTCGAATGCAGCGGACGGCCTTCCAGTCGTGGGCCATGTCAAAGGTCTGGATTTTGAGACCAAGCAGCACATGATGGAGATAACAAACTATTATATGTCCGATTTATAGCCGTCGTGCACAAAGTGGTTGGCGATGATGAAGGCGCGATGCGGGCGGTCAATAGTGCGAATCGATCAACTGGTTGGTAACGTTTAATGCCAATAAAAATCCCCCAACATCGCATATATTTTTGTTCTTGCAGCGGTCATTGGTGGCGGCGTGGGTGGATTCCTGGTTGGCGGCCCCATTGGAGCAGTAGCAGGCGGAATTAGCGGAGGAGCTGCGATGGATGGAGTCATGACGGGTGTCGATTCGGCCGTCAACGGAAAATTTACGTAGGCACTTTTAAACAGAAACGTCCTAACGAGCCGCTAAGTCCGCATGGTTTTATCGCCGCCGTTGACAATGCTATCGAGAATCCATCTGGTGGCGCTTTCTTCGATGCATTGGCGGTGCCGGTAATGGATGGGGTCGCTGGCTATTTCGCCGGACAGCAGACTGCTAAAATACAAAATGGTATGTGCAAGTATCAAAACACATACGTACCTTGACAATAGGGGTGGCAAAGAGCCAACTTGCCGATGTGGTGGGAAAAAGAGATACCATGCAAGCCAAGCTTGACGCCGCCATGTTCGATAGGAAGATCACGGACGGACAAGCTATCGCACAAGGCGCAAAAATCAATCAGCTGACCAACAAGATTACTAGACTCGAGTCGAAAATAGGTATGCCCACAAACGGAAAATAAGTTGTGATTGTGAAAACGTGAAGGTGCCTTGGAACCCTTCACGGATCCGAAAACGGGCGTCACGCATCAGATCAAGCCCGCAAAAGCTATCCCCAAAACAACGGCTGCCAAATGCGGCATGACAGCTACGACGGTCGCGGATAAGCAACAGGAGCAAGAAAAAGATAGTAAGCCTTCCCATTCAGTTATTCATATTCTAAACAATAAAAAAATGTAGCGCACCAGTATTGGGTCAGTAAAAGGTTTCACTCTTCATTCTCCAGTGATAAAAAAGACTTTAGGATGCCCTAATATGCAAAAGCTTCAAGAGCTCCTCGATCAAATGACCATCACGGAATATCAATGGACGGTAACATAATTTTACATACTTGATAACTTTAATTGCAAAATATACAAGGGAAAATGCCCTTTTTAGATCATAGAGGAGCTGGTCGACAAGTGTTGTCCCTCAAACTTCACGGAACCGACCTTGTCAATGCTAAAGCAACAGCAACGAAGTTCAGCAATAACGATGCAACAATTGCTGGAGAAGACCGTGAGTATATAGCGAGTTAGCTAAGAAAATGGGTTTGCCTGCAGGCAAGGTACGTGAATATGTGCCAGCGCGCTATGCAGGGCAAATGCGTTCAGCGAGACGCAGATGAGGACGAAGAGGAGGAAGATGAGGACGATGATAAGGTTGTTAAAATACGAGAAATAATAAACCTTGTTTTGAACGATCCATAACAGCCACAAGCTCTTGCAGATTCGCTGTCTCCATTGGAATATTAACGGGATTTCGGCACAGCTAAAGACTGACATTGGATTTATTCCGTTAGCCATAGTTCAGCCGTATATCTGTTTCTTTTTCAGTTGGCTACTTATGTACAAACCACACATTATCCTTCTCAACGAGATCAAGGCGAAGGACTGGCTTGTCGAGGCTCTCGCTGGAGTTCTCGGTTACAGAGTTATGTAAGTAGTCCTTACAGGTGGTTATGCAAGACAACGGAAAAATTATAATTTATAAACAAATTAAACAAAATTATAGCCATGTTCCTTCCTCCGCACCAAACAAGCGCTCCATGCGTGGCTCGGCGATTTTTTATCGCAACAGCAAGAAATACATTTGTACACTACGGGATGGCAAACAGATGGAATGGAAAAATGGTGCGCCAGGCAAGTAATAGATAATGGGGGCGAATTGTAAGGCCAAATCTCCAGAAGTGGAAATGGTATGGGCAGACATCACCCTTCGACAAGGACAGCTATATCGTCTGGTGAGCGCCTACGTCCTGCGTGATGCCCACTTCAAGGTGAAGCGTCAGCTTATTTTGATACGAAAATATAGGTGGTCTCGCAAGAATTTGAGCAATTGGCGGATGAAGCATATGAAAAAGTGACCGTAATCGCTGGTGATCTTAACATGAAGAAAAGCAAATTCTTATCGAAGTGGCGTAGTGCCGGCTTCACCGATCTATTGAAGCCTGACTGGGTAACCAATGTCACTTCTGCGGTAAGTGATCAAAATTCAACCACACTTGGCCACTTATAGCACGGATCAGAGACTTGCATTGACTATGTCATGGTTCCTACGGGCGAGGAGTCACATGTCGATTGTTGGGAGCCTGTACGACTTGGAGGAAAAAACTTCCACCTTCCAATTCCATTCACGATCGGACACAACTAATCGTCTTCTGTTGGCTTTTCAATTAAATGTTGCTGGATTGTTGTCTTTATAAATGTTAATAGCAGCAAAAATCCGACGAAACATACTACTTTCATGCTTAGCAACCTTAAAATGTACAAAAATAAGCATTTCCAGAAACCTAAGCTAATCCATACATCAAGTACAAAACCCGACAATTCTGATGCTTGTTTTTCCGGTTGTCGGCCAGCCACTAAAAAAAGCAGCAATGCCGATGCGCAGGGAAGCGTGTAGGCTAATTGAAAATGTTATCTACGCTTTCCCGATGCCATGGCACGACGATAGAATCTAATTTAGTAGGGGGCCATGTGGGGGAGGGGGGGCAGCTAATAGGAAATTGACCTGAGAAGGTGAATCGAATGGTGGGTCGCGAAAAGGAGAGGGAGGATTGGGATTGGATGGAAAAAATGGCCGGGTTTCATTATTTACAGCTTGGATATCAGATTTCAGGATCGCGTATAATCCAGATGGGGGGAGGGGAGAAGGAGAAAGGGGGAGGAGGAGGTAGACACGTCATTTCGTATGGAGCATTTAAACAAGCTATCGATTATCTGTTTTCAAAGCTTGATTTTAATAATTTGCCTTGCTTAATGAATCCAAAAAAATGTACCGGACTTTTGGTCATGCTTTTTAAAGGTATCTGTGGCCTAAAAATTGCAGGTAACTGGTTTTTAGTATATTTAAAACAAATTTCCAATTTTTAAACAATTTATTTATGTTTGTTTATATATAAGCTCGTGTCTGGATTTCTCCAACCTACTAAATCCAGTTGCATACGTCGGGACCACCCCATCGACAATTGCTGTAGGTCGGTCTGCGGGTGGTCCCGACGCTGCGTTGGTCTTCGGGAATCCCGCTCCCGACCACTTCCTGGCCTCCCATCAAACGCTTTCTATACAAAAATATTTGCGTTATTTGTAAATTTACAACTCAAAAAAAACATTTACTATTATTTAAATAATAAATACCAAGTAAATAGTTACACATTTCATTGCTTTTTCGCTTCTTTGGATGCGGTTTTATTGACCGTGATAAGTCGAAACTATGTAATTAATTCTAAACGAACGCCATTGCGCAATCTAACAAAATATATAGCTTTTAATGTTAATCTCACTAAAGTAAACAAAAGATGGAAACCTCCATTTTTGTTGAATTTCTCCTCTTTCTCTTCTTTCTCTCTTTCCCTGATTTTCTCTCGCCCATAGAAGTAGTTTGCAAGAAAACCAATTTGAATAAATTGCAGATAAAGCTAAATATAGACTTTTTAGCGAATCAAAATTGGCCAATGGATCTGAAAAAAAAATCGAGATTGGCATTTTCTGTAAGATCGTCCGATGTTGGCTTTCCAGAAATTGCCGAGTTGCCGTAAATATGTAAATTTTTTAACTTTATGCGTGCTCTGAATGTTGCCTGTAGTTTTCAACGCTTTATAGAGCATAAATCTTTATCAGCACTTTGATCGGCACAATGACAAAAAATGAAAGGACGTAAAATATCGGGGGGCACACAGAGATCAAGGCGAATTGTAAAGGTAAGAGATTTGTTTTGGGGAGAGAATGGGAACTGTGAGAAGAGAATCAAAAATCAAAAAATAGCATCTCTTTTGACATGATTAATGCATTGATAGGGGTAAGGTGAGGCCACACGGGTCGACATTTTGAGCAAGAGGTCCCGTTGACGTGCGTGGGGGGGTGTAATTGGAGCGTAGTGCAGTGAAGTACGAGGTATTCCAAGGCACTAATCGTCAAAAAAATCAGTTTCTGGGTTTTAAAGTATAATTTTTAAATTAGAATACCCTGCACGATACGGGAGTTTATACAGTATGATAAGGCAGTGCGAAAAGTGCTGGGTGTAGTTGGCATCTGGTGGTTGGTTCCCTGAACCAAAAAAAGGAGTTATTAGAATTTTTGGAAGGTATTCGAAGCAATTAAGATTCGGTTAGGCTTAGGCTTAGGCTTAGGCTTAGGTTAGGCTTAGGCTTAGGTTAGGGCTTAGGCTTAGGTTAGGCTTAAGTTTGGGCTTAGGCTTAGCTTAGGCTTAGCTTAGGCTTAGCTTAGGCTTCGCTTAGGCTTAGCTTAGGCTTAGCTTAGGCTTAGCTTAGGCTTAGCTTAGGCTTAGCTTAGGCTTAGCTTAGGCTTAGCTTAGGCTTAGCTTAGGCTTAGCTTAGGCTTAGCTTAGGCTTAGCTTAGGCTTAGCTTAGGCTTAGCTTAGGCTTAGCTTAGGCTTAGCTTAGGCTTAGCTTAGGCTTAGCTTAGGCTGAGCTTAGGTTTAGACGTAGGCTTCGCCTAACTTACTTAATCACATTAATTCCAATACCATCCACAATGCACCATATTCTGTTGGCAATATAAGATCAGGGGCTTAGGCACTGGTACACGTATTTTCATGGGAGGGGAGATGTGGGCTATTTTCTACTCGAATCTATCGATGTGAAAATGGGTAGCACAATTTTTGGGGGTAGATTCAGAACTCGTTACGCGTGATGTGGGCCCACAGGGTTGAATATTCTTCGATGATCTGAAATATTCGGGAAATTAATGTATTTAAAAATTCTAGACTTCAGTGGTCCTTCAAAAACTATTCGATAACTCGCCTACCTTAGCAAGCCATCGACTAGAAACCTTGGCCTTTTCGACAATCTTCTCCGGGAGGACGTCGGGAAATTTGTTGCCAAGAATTTCCAGCTTTTCCTCGCACTTCAGAAACAGGAAATACCGCATGTGCGTGCATTTATGGTATAGCTGACTGGCCGCTTTGCACTTCTCACAAACGTAGATTTCCTAAAATTCCAATATTAATATATAAATATCTTTCAAAACTTACCGTAGCCGGCGGGGGAGGATTTTCTATTTCCGATTTCTTCTGCTTTGCTGGTTGTAGCGTCTCTTTATCGTAATTTGTAAAGTCGAAGAACTGCTCGACAGTCGTGATTGGATGTTTTTCACAGGCCTTAAAAATTTTCGTATTACAGTAAGTATTTTTTTGGCTACCTGGCAAAGCGATTCATTATAGTCTGGCTCCCGGAAGGTGATATTGGTATATCGCTCCAAACAGCTCTCCATCCGGTCATTCCAATGTGTCACTTTTCGCAGCTTTTCCATACAGCCCAGGTTTTTCTTGACGACTTCAATCATTGGCTTGAGGACGGTCCAGTCTTAAGAAATATAACTTTAGGACTATTTAGATCTTTAATACCTTCTTTTTCCTGTGCTTCTTGAAAGTATTGCAACGAGAGGACATGCTGGAACATTGCTGAGATGTAATTAAGCAGTAGCATATGGGATGGGTCACGGATTAGGAAAGAAGCATCAAGTTCCGGGCCGTCGGCTTCGACTAAAATCGATTCTTTAATTTGTGGATTAATATTAGCATACCTTGTTCAGTTTCTACGACTTCCGGTGGCATCTCCGAAGCTATCGCCGGGAACAATTCACTCAACGGGTACACCGGCTCGATGATCTGTTCCGATCTGGTCTGCTTGATGTAGTTGACCTGGACAGTCGCGTAGTCGGCAGCAATTTGTTCACACCAGCCAGAGTACTAAAATATACTACGTTTCTCATTAAAAATCGGGATCCATACCGTACTACTATTACGGTAAGTAACGTTCCGAGTTTCAGGGTCAATTCGAGGAATGTATTTCTGGAGCATCGTCTGGTTATCGACCCTCCAGAGCGCGCAATCATCGCGGTGGATGTCCTTTTTGTAGACGACAAACGTTCCTTTCTGAATTTAAATATCTTAATAGGATTACTATACTGATTACTTACCGGTAGATACCCTTCAGCCGATCCAAAACAGCCTAGCCTCTTCTTCACTTCCTGATTCATCGCTTGTTTCGTACGTGGCGACAGGCAGATATCTTCCCCATTTATTACTTTGGGCGCTTTTTGTTCTTCTTCTATCCGAGCTTGTTCTTCTTGCGCTAAAAATATAAAATTATGCGTTTTTTAAGTGAATTTTACCTTTCTTTTGTGCATTTTCTTGTTCCTGCCATTGTTGCATAAATATCGCCTTTTTACTCAGCGTCATATGCAAAACAAGCGGTTCCTTTTTCTGTTCAGCATTTGCATCCGGAGGCACTGGGGGCTTGATGATAATAATCGGGTGGTGTTGGGGCTCAGGCTCAGGCTCGGTATACAACCTCGAGCTCCTCCTCTCCGATCTTCTATACCCCTCATTCCACTCATTATCATATCTATCGTATTTGTCATATTTATGCTTCTTCTTCTTCCGGTGGTGCTTGTGGTGGTGTCGTTTTCGGCCTGGTTCTTCGTTTTCTAGGTCGGAGCCCTGGCCATCGGCAAATCGTTCCAAGATTTTTCTGGAGATCCGGAGCTTGGGGATAGCGTCCGGCCTAAAAATGTAATATAAAAAGTATAGATTTAAGGCTTACTTTGTATCCGATGGGTCTACTACAGCGATGATGCCATTTTCCTGTGGACATTCAGTCTCATCTGCGACGACTTCAACTTGGCAGAAGTTGTTCGACTTCTTCCGGGCTTCTTTTCGACGTTTAATTGTTTCCGAGAGGCTGAGGATGATTGGCGGGGCTTTGACAGCTGAAAAGTATTGATTTTTAACTTCTTATAATTCAGTAAAGGTTGCTTGGCGGGGGGGTCAAAACGGTGCTACCTCGTTGCGTTATTTCAAGCATACTATCGGATATAGCGTCTTAAATTATACGAATTTACTTAAACTCAGCTCAAATCACCCTAATTTAAAATTATTACGTCATTGCAACAAAATTATTAATTTTTATACCGGGTTTTATTAATCGACAATTGTTGTAAAATAAGTTTTTCGGTTCTATTAGTGCAATCTTTATGCTGATTATCATTGGATAAATGGCACTTGCAAAGCAACAAGTCTATCTTTAAAAATTGGATTTCTCTGCCCCCTCCCCGCTAAGTAACCATCAACCCCCAATTCCTTACCAGCAGTTATCGCCTCAATTGTCGTATTTGAAGGTAACAAGGCGGCTGGCGGAATTCCAGTTCTCGTTCCATCAACTCCAAATCGCTTCTTCGGAACAACGTGACTCCAGAGATCGGCTGTTGTCTGCTCCTTTGGTACGGCAAAACCGACGCCAGGCACGTAAACGTTTTTCCCGGGAAAAGCCGCTGTTTGACTGGCTCGTTTTTGCACCTAAGAATGTTTTTTGATGTCGATTTCGGCTTTTCCTTACCTCAGCCTCCACCTTCTGCTGATGCTCCTTTTTCGTATTCTCTATCAACGTCCCCAACGCATCCTCATCATCCGTAAATGAATATTCATCGTCTTTGAAAGGATCTAAAACAAAAATAACTTTTTAATCAAAGTTTTACCTGGCTTCTTCTCCTCCTCGAATCGATTCCCAAATATATTTGCCTTCTGTTTATACACTGGTGCCTTATTCTTCTTGCTGACAAAGATACTTGGAGCCTTCTTCTGACTATCCCGCTTCTTGTAAAATTCTTTTCGCAATATCGGTTGCTTGAAGAAGTTCTCATATGGACTAGTTTCCTTCTTGGTCCCGTTGATTTTCGGGGAGATCGAGGATTTTGCTGGTGGAGCCAAGGCTGGGGTGGGGAGGTTGAGGGTTAGGAGCGGATTTGGAGGGTTTGATGTTGAAGCGGAAGGTGTTGAGAGCGGTTGCACGGTTTTTGGGGCTGTGAGCTTCGGTTTTGGATTCAGCTCCAGCCTTGGAGCTGCACTATCTAGGCTTAAAGCCGGTAGTAATGGAGCAGCGGCTGAAGTGGAAGGTTGCGAATCTCTGATCTGTTGGGCCGCTTTCTCCTCCACGAGCTGTTGCAACTGCTTCAGCTTCTCGAGCTTGAGCATCGAGTTCGTGCTCGCCTTGCCCTTCATCGTATTTTTGGCTTCCATTTGCTGGACCATCATGCCGATCTGGCTGGCGACGGGTGTGTACAGGGATAGTCCAGAGGCCGGAACATCCGGATCGTCTCGTAGTGGGGAGTCAGGTGGGGTGAACTGGAATGTTTTTTTTATGAAAAGATGGGTGAGATTGTTCGCACCTGAACCGGGCTGAGCGCTCCATCATCAATTAGGCCGTTGAAGTTTTCAGTGAAATCGGCTTCTTTGTGGGTTTCTTTGGCTTCGAGCTGAAAATAGTTATTAATATAGGCATACTCTAGTTTGTAGGGATACTGTAGAAACGCAAAAAATGATAATTTCTCACGGGTTTGGCCAAAAGCGGCTGGACCAGTAACGATTCCCAGTCAGTATCCTGGATGTTTGTCTGATCCGCTATAGATGCGTTGACAAGATCGTTGATGTCTCGCAGATCGAAATTACTCCATTCTCCCTAAAATCCATGATTTCCGGTTTGTTACTATTGACGTACCGGTGTAGAAGCGCTTGAGCCATCGTCCAGCGAGGCGGCTGTAAGCTCACTTTTTAATTCCAAGGGAAAAGCGGCTGATGTTGATGGGAGTTGGCCATCTGGAAGTACAGAATTTCTTTATTAAAAGTATCAGATTTTCATTGGCACTTTTTAAGCCTAAGGCTAAGCTAAGCCCAGGTCTAGGCCTAAGCTACTCCGAAGCCTAAGCCAAAGCGTAAGCCAAACCCTAACTATAGTTAACTTTTTTCCACTTACCCGGCGAGCTTTTACTCGTTCCCGGCTGCTTTAGTGGACTTGTCGGAACCTCTGATTTTACGTCACCAGAAGAACCCGTTCCAGATGACCCGTGTATCGTGCTCATCGGCCGCTCCAAATCAATCGGCGTCCCGACCGACCGTACCGAATCCGGGTTAGCCGAGCTCGGACCCGCCGGCGAGTCCACGCTGTCGACCTGTAATTGAATTGGGAATTTAAGTTGATGCGTATATTTTTACTTACATTTATGAACGAATTCGCAACGCTGGTTTTTCGGATAACATCAGTTGCTGTGGCAGCGGTGGTGGGGAACATTGCTGGATTCTGGGTTGTTTGAGCTGCTGCCGCCAGAGCTCGGGCATAGTCGGCACCACCGGGTAGTTCCCTGAAAAGTTTAATATTTTTAATATGCCTAGATCAATTTAAACAAATTATGATCCCATTAACGAAAATATTATGCCCATAGACCCTCAAAAAACTTACATCGGCTTCATCCCACTCAACCCGGCTTGCCCCAGCATACCGTACATGGCCGCCGCCATCTTGGCCTAAAATTTTTGGAGACCTGATACCTAATATGCAAATTTACCTGATCGATCCATTGTGAAGTTTGTTGTGCAGCCGCCCATTGTTGAGCGAGATCAATTTGAGGTTGAGCTTGAGGTAATAATGATGAGGTCGAGAGGTTGGAGAGTTGTTGTAGGGTTAGAAAGCCGCCGCCTGGAATGTAAACAATTTATTAATACGCTTTTTATGGGTATCGATCGATCGCTTTTCTGGTTCTCTCACGTGAATCACCACCCAAGAAATGCCTGTGTGCATAAATTATTGCGAAATCAAAAAGCAAGAGTTTCGTAATAAAGAAAAATGGATAAAATGTTTAAAAGTTTGCTTACAAGTTTAAAAATGGGAATTTTCTGGTAAGAGATCAGAAATCAAATTACGTAAATCAAGAAAATTGGTAATTTGGTAATCGGCAATTTTTCTAATAATACGGTATAGGCTTATTTTTTTTGTAGTAATTCTAGGTATTTACTAATTTTGGGTTAAGCCCAGTACAAGGAAGCTCTACTAAAAAGGTAATGCGTAGTTTTAAGCCTGTAATTTCCAAAAATTTGACGTTTTAGGTAGCGTAAAGGTATTCAGGAGGTAGTACGTAACTAGGAACGTCTAGGAAATCTTCAAACTAATTGTAAGAGCAATAATTAGCTTTTCAACGCATTAATGGGAAAACGAGATGAGATAGTTTTTAAACTTAAAAATCTAACTTTGAAGCTTCCACCATTCAAGCTTTACTTCCGCTTTTTTTAAAGTTATTTGCCGTGATTCAAGCTCTACCAAATTAAAGGTATGCTGAAAATTCGAGTCCCAGTGATCATTGATCGAACATGCCCAAAAAAGGGCCCAACCGCCCCGACAGAGCCGTGTGCTGGGCGCGAGAGGAAATGAGTAGCACCCAAACGAGTAAGGGGTGGAGCCCGACCCCCTCGAACAGGTGGGAATATATCCGGCACAAACAGTCACACCGAAAAAACCCGCCCAAAATCCCCCTCTTCCTACTTTTCCACCACCCGAAAATGAAATCAAAAATCACCTGAGAAACCCTGGGTGGCAATAGCAGTGGCGAGTAGTTGGAGCCGTTGCTTTTCCTGGTCCATTCCATTGGGGTCGTGGGTAGATTCAGAAGCGCCACGTCGCGGACAGGGTCGTTTGACGGAATAGAGTCACTAGAGAAATTATAGGTTAAAGCGGAAACGGGTAAAACGTTAAAAATCGCGCAAAGTAGGGGGGTTTTGGTAGAGCCGACCCCCTGTTCTGCGGGCCGGCCCCGCGTATTCGTCCCTTTTTGCCCTCCCCTCCCCATCGGCTAGCCCTCCTGTTGGGGAGGCTGTGAAAGCAGCACGCGTGTCAATCAATATGGATGAGAGAATGGGTGGGGGTGAGAGAATTTAGACGATGAAAGGATGGGAGAAATACTACAACCCGGTGAGAGAGGTATCCCCACCATTCGGTTCCCTCTTTTGGAACCCCGCTACTCCAAAATTAGGTTGGACTTTAAAATAGCCTTCTTTTAGTGCTATTATGATCATGAAATCTAGTTTTTGACACTTTTATTGTCGTCTAAATGAACCTTCACCCTAAAAATACGTATTATATTCGCTTTCAGGGCTAATTCGCTTCTTTTTTTTCTCTTTTATGAGAGTTCTTTTGAAATAGGTTCATTAATGTGCTATTGGTGCTTTTTCGTTGGCGGGGGGGGGGGGTCTAATGTCCTAGATTATCAATATTTCACTGTTTGTTTTTTACTATATTATCGCGACCGGGTGGAGCAGCAAAAAATCTACTAAATATTTTAATTCTAGGTCGAACCATTCTAATTCAAGAAAGTTATAAGCAAATGACCTGAAATGGGATTGGCAACATATTTTTTTGGGATTTTCGAAATTATTCGACATTCTGTTGCCGCCATTCGATAGAACATAAAAAATTCGCTAAGAATTTTATATACAGCTCAAAATAATGTATTTTTAAAAAAAAGAAGCTATTTACAAAAATAATTTGTTTTCCTTGATAAACTCCGCCCCCCCCCGCTATTAAACCAGAACCATTACAGTTGTTATAATAACATTAATGAAATTTATTTTGTAGCTATAACCCGGTTTAAATCATGCTCCGCTGCACAATTTTGTACAATTCTTCTGATGAAGGGTCATCTATATCAAATATCTTACCAATCTTTTAATTCACTTCCTTTTCACTTCTTTTAAAGGGGCCAGGAAGGCAGAATTTAAAAGGCTTGTTGACCCTTGTTGCAGTCGTGCCATCCTGACAATATGAAATCTAAACGTCTCTTAAACAATTACTGCCTCTCATTAATGTATCCTAGCTATCTTATCAAAACCTTATCGTTCAGAGTAGGGTCGGGGAATCGACATCTGCCCCGATTGAGCACAACAAAATCGTGCATCGCTACCGCTTCCCATTATTAGACTACCCCCTAAATTCTGCATATGGACAAATTCGACAAAACATACAAGGTAATATTCACATTTAATGCAGTTCTCGATTTATGTTGCCCTGTATTTATACTTGTTTTCAGATGCACTCAGCATCTCGGTCTCATCGGGCAGAAACGAGGAATCGCACCAAGGAAGATTTGAAGCGGGTCATTCTTTCGATTGAAAAGGTGAGTATATTTTAATTTTAACGGTCTTTCCGGCCTAAGCTCGTCTCTAAACCTAAGCGAACCAAGCCAAGTCTAGGCTTAAGCCAACGCTAAGCCTACGTTAGGCCAAGGCTAAGCCTAAGCCAGACATATACTAAGCCAAAGCTATAACTAGAATAAGCCTAAGCTAAGCTAATCAAGCCTATGCGGAGCCAAAACCAAGCCTAAGCCTAATTGTAAGCTAAGTTTAAGCCAAGCCTAGGCAAAGTTTAAGCTGAGCCTAAGCGTAGGCCTAAAAACAATTGCCCCCCCCCCTAACTTTAATAGACCTTTTCTCCAAAGTCTTTCATGCTCTTTTTTAGGTACGCAAATGGGAAAAACGATGGGTGTTGCTCCGAGACACGTCAGTCCGCATCAAGAAATGGATTCCGATCCAAGAAGAACAAAAACCGAAGGCAGACGGCGTTCAAGATGAGAACAAGGCTATCGACAACTCTGTAAAGTCGATTGACGACGCGTCAAGGGATTCTATCGATTCTTCTTCCATGGATGCATCAAATCCATCACAGTACGTTTATTCTTTCAAGAGAAGTCATTAAGTAATGGTATTATCCTGTTTTTTACGATGCCAGTATCTACTATGTTAATTTTTAATACATAATTTTTCAATACGCTTATTTTAAACTTGTGGAAATTTCGATTGTACATAAAATTTCCGCCTCAGAATTGCCCAAATTGAAATTTTAGGGCATTGAAATATCGACAAAATTTCGACAAAATGGTATTTAGACAGCATTATTTTTGACAAACTGCTGCAATGCAAATTACTCGCCGTAATGAGCATCATAAAAATGAAAATTTACGGTCAATTATGTATTCCCTTTTAGACGTAACACCGCTGGCGGTGAAACAACCTTCCCCACAAACGACAAGGAGCAATTCCTCACCCCAAAGCTACCCAGAACGGACAGAAAATGACTGTAATTAGCTGTTTTGCGTTGTCTGTTTGTCATTTCATCGGGATCTCCAGATCGTACCCATGGGTTTTTTTTTCAAAATTCGTGTACCCTGTAACATTTTATTTGGTCTCAACCTGTACCCCCATTCTTGTACCCTTTTTTCCGGATACTCCAAAGTCAAGTGCCCCAAATAAAGTGCGATTTATTGATTTATTTATTTATTTAATAGCGATTTATTGAAATGTGGATGGCTTATTAGTGGACGACCCGCGATTTTCAAAAGAGATCGGTGTGATATTGCGTGCAGTCTAGGCAGCAGCCCATAACCCGCCGGAAAACCCGGCTCCCCAGGCTCGTTTTTGCTTGACCAAGTTTTTCGTGGCCGGCTTCATTGTTCTGAAAAAGAGGGGCGGTTTTGGGGGACTGATCTGGATACCTGGACGTTCGTTTATTGATGCAGTTTCCAATGAAGAAAGCAATAGCGGAAAGTAGTACACAGGCGACCAGTAGTATAATGGCCCATGGTGGCCAGTGATGCTTTTCTTCAACGGCTGGAAAGGTTTTCTTGATGGCAAAGTAAGATTAGTTCATTCCTAAACTCAAATTCACGCCAAATTGTGGATAGTTCCCTAAAAATCAAGAATATTTGGTTCTTTCGCATTATCCGGGGGAGGAAAAGTTTATCGGGTGGGGAACAAATTTTTTCTTGAGAATCAATTTTTTTTAGATAAATAGTTGAAGCGTTTCGAAACTATTTTTTTTGCTATTTTACATGTAAAAACTTTACAATTTTTATTAACAATACAAATAATCTAGATTTTTCCGACCAAACATGGGCTTTTTGACCAAAATGCCGACTTTTTAAAAATGTTTTCGAAGTTTTTAGATAGTTTTCCAGTTAATATATAATTTTATTTTACTAGCAACGTTGTAAAAATAAGTCTTATTAAATTACTAAGGATTTCTAGATTAATACAAATCCCCCCGATAATGCGAAAGAACCGAATATTTCCTAATTGGCTTTATAATCCATCTACAGCTATGCTAATAAGTTTATTACAATTTATAACAGTTAATACTTCTCATAATCCACCTGCAGTTCCAGTGGAACGTTTGCTGAGATTTCTGTGATGATTCAAAAACTCCATCTCCTATTCGGCATTAAGGCAGAGGTCCTGAAATCGAATAATTTTGTATCTCCGGCTTCTTGGAATGGAAAATTTCGGCTCGAGACAAACACCCAGCCTGGCAACAGTCCCCCCCCCAATCCAGAAGATTATGGGAATTGAGGTGACATCAGACTTATGCATCCTGAGAAGTCGAATTGAAGAAATTGGGGCAAAACTTGGCATAATAAGATGATGCCGGATATATTATTCAGGGGTTGTCGTGTCAGATAAAAAATTGCTTCTGGGACGACGAATAGCTGGTCAAGAACATAAAATTATAACTTATCTACAATTACATAGCGGCGTTGAGAAATTTTGGTGCAAATCAGTTAGGAGGGGGCAGTCCGGATCTTGACTACAAGACGCTCTAAATGCCGTTTTTAGACCCTAACCTCGAGAAAAGCTAAGCTAAGCAAAATACAAACGAAGCCTAGGCTTAGCTTGAGCCAGCTAATTTGAATTCCAAGCTAAGCCGTAAACGCCCCCATTTGACCTCGCAAGGCAATTTAAAGCGTAAGGTAAGCTTAGCATGGACTTCAGCTTCAGCCAAGCCAAGGCTAAGCATAGTTAAAGCTAAGCCAAGCCTAGGCTTAAGTTAAAACCAAGTAACTTCAGCGAAAAGTCTCGTAGCTCCCTATCGCTAAATCAAGGCTGCATTCTCACAAGCATCAAAAAGGTTCAGAAAGGCGAAAAGAAGAAAGCTGACCAAGCCATTTGGATGGCTTGATCAGGAGAAATCGTTTCCTAAACAGTGACCTTTCCAAAGCTTCAATTGCTCGCGTAGGCGGCCAAAATCTACGGCGTAAAGTCTAGTTAAAAGGACAGCCCTAGGCTCGCCCGTGTAGCAGAAGAGCGCCGTGTAGCGAATTTTCAAAATCAAGGAAGGAATGGTCGTGGGGAAATCTTCTGGAGAAGGGATCGGGTTTCGGGCCCCCAGGACGGGGGCAAATGGCAGGCAGCGCCGCCGCCGGCTCCGTCGACCAGCCCCACCAATTCCGACCTCATCAGGAATTTATGAATCGCCACAGCAATTCAACACGATTCGCCCATATATTCGCTAGAGGGGGAAGGGAATGGGTGCTGGGTCATCGGTCACCTGGGTATGCGAAATGTGCTCCCCGAAAAAATTGGCATAACGCAGTCATTTCCGGTTGGGGTATCCGACTCGGGGAGGTTGAGGGTTACGGTGGCGTTCAAACGCAGCGCTATAGCGCGTTTTGCAGGACCCAGAAAATTCTATATAAAGATGCCCGGTACTGGACTATTAGCGGGGGGGGGGAGAAGAACCATAATACACAGCTTCCAAAAATGCTGCCCGGAACAAAAAATGATCTGTCCAAGACCCAAAACATTTGCAGGGGTAATAAAGAGCCGTTTCCTGGCATCGGGTTGCAGCCCTGGTCGTCTGCATAAGTGTGGGCGGCCCGGCATCATCATCATGCAAACCGGACAACAACACTAGAATAGCACTGCAGCCCCACTGCTAGATTCCGCGCGCAAGCTTGGTTCTCACGACCTAGTAAACTGCCTGAAGAACAGAGCTAGCATTCAAAAACCTGAAAAACCTGATGAGCTAAACCCTAGAAACGGAGCTAGCATTGAAAAACCTCAAAAACATGCCAAACTAAATCCTAAAAACAGTGCTAGGGTTGAGAAACCTCAAAAACTGCTCAGCTAAATCCTAAAAACTCGAAGGTTTCTAAAGCAAATAAAAACTTTCGAAGCAACCTAAAGAACTGCCGCGGAGCAGTGGGACATCGCTGAAATTGAGTCCTAAGAGGGCAATATTCGGCGAGAGATATCTCAACGAGACGCTGATTGCCTCTCCTCCCGAATTTCCTCAGTTTCGCCCGTCCCCTCAATCGAGGTTCCCGTCAAGAAATTCAGGAGACGTGTGAATCCGCTCGCGAAAACCGAAATTGTGAAATGGCCAGCTAAGCGGAAGCTCGAAAGAATTAAATAAAAAGCCGTGTAATCCTAAAAGTCGCTAGTGGAGGTAAAAACCAAAAAGAGAGAACTTTTTGACCACCTGTTCGAATCGCGCCGCACAAATTTGCCCAATTGCTTCAACGGATTTGGATAGAAAGTGGTCAGGGCGAATTCAATTTACTTCCGCCCCGCCCGGCGTTCCCTCCAAGACAAACACACAAAATGTGAACGTCTTCAGGGTTAGAAATCTACAAAAAAGGTTGAATTCCTACATTGTTCTAACATTTTGTCAGCAATGGGGTATTTGAAGCTCTTTAAAGCCTTCAATATTCACTACAGCTTATCATAAACTTGAGGATACCATCATAACTCACTGGGGAAAACTAGGAGCGTTATTTCCAGACGCCCAGCTAGTAATAAGTAAACGGGAATCCACAATTCATCTTTATTTCGCTATTTTTTTTGTAGCCACGCCTTCTAAAAATGGCCCCCAAGCAGTAAACGGCCTCCATAATTCACTATTGTTCCGTTGTCCGCGAATTTCCAATTCCAAAATTCCAAAATTTCTAGCGAGGTGGCTTTTAAATAACCGTTTTTCGGCCCGTTTTTTTACTAATTAACGTTTGTAATCAATTTATAAATTTTTTTTCATGCCCTCTGAACATTATTAAACGGTTTTGGTAAAATATTTTTTTTATTAAGAAGTTAGATTAAGGAAAAAGAGACATCCTCGTAAGGAGCTGGGGAAATTGAAGAAAATGGTCCGGATTTTTGATCATATGACGACCCAACGCCGTTTTTAGAACAAGCTTCTGGAAAAACTAACCTAAGCCTAAGCCTCGGTTAGCTTCACATAAACGAAGTGTAAGCCTAGAGCCAGGCACAGCGCTGAATTACCCCATTTTTACCTCCTAAGGTAACTTCAAGCTTGCTTTCCTTTTTTCTATAAGTCAAAAACAAGTTTGGATAAGCGACAAAAGACAAGAGATAAACTATAGAAATAGACTAAAAGAGATAGAGGCGCTATTTCAGTTTACCGGCCCCACTTATATATGGCCAAAATGACATTTTTCTGGGTCAGTTTTTTGCGCTGGTTACGAAAAAAGACACCCCAGCTCGTAAAAATGCAATCTAATGAGAAAAAAATTTACTTTTTTACCAAAATCTAGAACGCCAAAGCGTGAATTTTGAGGGGAGAAAACACTTAATTTTCGGTTTTTAAAGGGGTTTTGATGCGGGAGGCCTGTAAATCAGTGAAAAAGTTTTTCCAAGAAGGCTGAGCGATTGCATCCGCTTTTTTCCTAAAAATAAGGCTTCGTGCCACCCCGGGGCCTAGTCGCTTCGGATGGGCGCGAGCTCGTACAGGGTTTCGAAATAGGGGCGCCCGAGGCGCGCGAAGCGGCCAGGCGCCCCTATTTCGAAAGAGTGGAGCGGCAGCCCATCCGAAGCGACGGCCCGCCTTGCCTGACAATGCTACTGGCTTACTTCATTCATGATAAACCCGTTTTTGGCCATGATTTAATTAAAAAACCACAAAAATACTCCTTTTACGCGACCGCCGTAAAATCGAATTTTCCCTACATTCCAATTAAATTGTTTTTCTAAATCGCATTTTCGTGGGCCGGGATAGTGCTTTCCGTAACCAGCGCAAAAAACTGACCCAGAAAAATGTCATTTTGGCCATATATAAGTGGGGCCGGTAAACTGAAATAGCGCCGAGATAGAAATAAACTAGTTATGAAATAAAAGTTATGAATAATAGTTATTTTCTTACTAGCTAACCTATAGTTACATATAAGAGGTTAGGTAACTATAGAAGTTGTGTGCAAGCATTGTATAGTAGCAAAAGCCTTACAAAAGTAATAATCGTTATAATTTTATTATATATTGTAAAAAAAACAGAGTGAAATCGATGCCTTGCTTCAATTTCCCAGCTCTTTACACGGATTTCCCTTTTTCCCTTAATCTAACCTAATAATAAAAGTATTTTACCAAAACCTTTTAATAATGTTGAGAAAAAATGAATAAAATTTTATAAATCGAATACGAACATTAATTGATACGAAATGCGACAAAAAAGGGTTTTTTTTTGAAAACCTTTGAAAGGAGTTTTATCTTGCGCCCCTAGCACTGTATCAGAAACCAGCCGTTACGGTTTTGCGCAATCGTGGCGGGACCCGGCCGGTGTCGACCTGTTCGCCGAGCCGCTAATTTTGGCACACTTCCGATTTTTCGGTGGGTTTTTTGTTTTCCCCGATCTATTGCTAGGCCTTCTTTTATGCTTTTTTCCTTTTTTTATCTTTTGGAAGTTATCTCAAATCTGCCGCGCAGTTTTTGGAACAAAAAATATTTTAGCGCAGCGCGTACTTGTTATTTAGGCGAATCTTTAACAGGCTTGAATTTTTCCCACCATTCCCTGCTCTAACCTTCCTACTTGAATCATTATGACTTGTCTCTTGCTCTCCATACTTTCCATATTGAGCGTATAATTTCCATAATTCACTTCTTTAGAACTAAGAAATGTCTTCAAATTCTGTGCCATCAACTCATGGCGGCGGTACGTCGTCTGGCGGGCGCCACAAGAAGGAGGAGGTCGTCCACAACATGAAGACGATTCAACCGGATCTGCTCGACCACGTCATGAGCGAGCGCAACAAGACTGGAAGCGCCGGCGCTCTCGTCAACGCCATGACCAACTACGTCCGCGTGAAGAGCCATGTCGACTTGCCCATCTACCAATTCCATGTCGCCTTCGACCCGCCGGTCGACAACAAGAGCTGGCGCGAAGAAATTTGGCGCGGCTGTGGCATTTTCGATCGCGTGCTCGAAAAGTTCATCGGTGAGACTTGAACGATTACAAAACTTTTTCATTTTAGCCAACTGCAAGTCGATTCTCCGTCAAATCAACATGGACCTTCCTGAGCCACATTGTTTCCCCGTTGGAGGCAGTGGGGAGGCGAACGACTACCTTGATGTGATCCGGGAGAAGCTTGCCGAAGCTGCGAACCATGGCATCAAGTTGGACATGGTCGTCGTGATCCTGAAGGACGACAACGAAACCCGCGACTACACTGGCAAGAAGGTCGTCTGTCTAGATTTGCCTGGTAAGCCTCTTCCTTGTTCGCTCATTTTCTCTAGTTCCGAGTCAATGCGTCCGTCCATCTGATCGGGGCGTAAACAAGCAGCTCGGCTCCATTTGTCTGAAGATTCTTCTTCAAATGAATTGCAAGATGGGTGGAGCGCCTTGGATCGTGAAAAAGCCGGTAATTAGTCTTTTCTAATGCATTAACTTTTATTGCTTATAGCCGAAGCGCGTCATGTTCATCGGATACGACCTCTACGCGGACTCTACGACTCGTGGCAAGTGCGTGGGATCGTGCGTTTTTTCCTTCGTCCAAGACATCACCGCCTGGTATTCGCAATGCAAGGCCCACGAGAGGTATGATCAATTTTTTTTTTGTTCAATGACTGTTCTAGGTCCCACTTGTCCGACAAGCTGCCGAAGAGGTGGCTCATACGATGGGTCAGACTGTTCCACAGTTCGCCTTCATCTTGGTCACGAAGAAAACCAACGCACGTGTCTTCACTGCCTCAGGCAACTCTGCTGCAAACCCACTGCCGGGAACTGTGGTCGACAACTACATCACACGTCCTGAAAGGTTAGCTATTTTGTGTTTGATTTAACAATCGATTAGGTACGACTTCTACATGGTGCCACAAGCCGCGAACCACGGAACGGTGGCTGCGGTCCACTATTCCATCATCCACGACGACACTGGCTACGATGCGGACCGCCACCATAAAGTAGGAGAGATCTGTTGCTTTTTAAATCTGTTTTAGTTGGCCTTTAAATTGTGCCATCTCTACTACATCTGGCAAGGCACGGTCCGCGTCCCAGCTCCCTGTCAATACGCCCACAAGCTCGCCTTCCTCTTCGCACAGACTCTCCATCGAGAAGCCAACGAGCGACAAATTGTTTTATCTCTAGGCTTATTCATCGTGTGAACCCCCCTGTGTATCTGTGAATAAATACTAACAAAATCATATTGTCAAGTGCTATTTGGTGCTGGGGAAAGGACATCATACGGCTTGAGCGTTTGTGCAAACGATTGGTTTCATATTACAACAATTTGATCGCGTTGCAGATTCTGAGGAAAGTATGTCAGAGCGGGTCTTTCGGATCAAGATTATCTTTGCGTGGTGATGCGATAGAATAGTTGCTTCTCTGTGCCGCAGTGTGTGAACAGTCTCATTCCAGCTTTTCGTTGATTTGCACCGAAAAGTGAACTATTTTGCTCTTTCTCCGTCAGTATTGATTAGTTCGCTACGAGCATTGCAGGGTTACGCCATCTTCTGAGCGTAAAGCGTAAACTAGCGCGTAGACTTTAAGGTAAAGCGCGCCCAGATACTTGCATATTCACTTTTCTGACATGCTTGGATTAGAATTGTATCAAGAGATTGGGCCCGCGGATAGCAGAGATTCTTGAGGAAAACCCCACCCATCATCCTGCTATCGAATATTAATAAAAAGCTCTGAACTTTGCATGTTGTGAGTTGGTGATATGAAATGTAACATTATTATGCAGGTTTCGGTAAAATATTGAAAACCTTTATTAAAACACACACGCCACGATGTTTTGAACTCGTATCGAGGAGGGGTTTAGTCAATAAAAATCGGTCGAAAATCATCATTTTTTTAATAGCGTCCATAATTTGATCGTCGAGTCATATATCCGGGCCCTGCAATGGGAAATTTAGCAGAAAAACATAAAAACAAGCAAAAACCGATCAGCGACGAGAGAGAGTGCGAGAGAGAATGGTCACCTGCTAATCAATATCTTAATAACAAAGTCACAGAAAATAACCTCGTTAACGTTACAAAGAGGTTATGATAGAAACCGCGGCCGGGATCGAGAATGCAATCCAGGAATCTGTAATTTGCCAGGCGTGTGAGAGAATTGTTGCGGTAAGCCACGACGAGCCAGGAAAGAGAAAGAGCGAGAGAGAAAAAGAGAGAGCGAGAGAGAAAGAAAGGGCGACAGAGTAAGAGAGAGAGAGAGGGAGAGAGAGCGAGCGAGAGACAGAGAGAGCGAGGTTGAGAGAGAGAGCGAGCGAGAGAGAGACAGAGAGAGCGGGAGAAAGAGAAAGAGAGAGAGAGCGAGATAGAGAGAGAGAGAAAGATTTCCACAAGTAGCGTTCATTTACGAGGGACCGAAATAAACCGAATTTGAGCGGGCGTAAAAATTTTTTGGAAGGTGAAGTCGCCTGGATATTTTCACCAATAAACTTGTGTTATTAGTTGAATATAACTATGCCTAGTGATTTTCGACTATAACTAGTGATTTTCGATTTTGAGATGAAGGTCACCATAGTTTTGAATCAGAGGTGCTAATGCACCTGGGGGGGCAGTTGGGATTTTGACTGCAAGACGCTCCAAACGCCGTTTTTTCATAATCTGAGCATCTGGAAAGGCTAAGCTAAGCCTTAGCCTAGGCTTAACTTCAGACAAACGAAGCCTAAGCTTAGCTTAGCTCTAGGCTGACCCCTTAATGACCCCATTTTGACCTAGTAAGGCAATTTAAAGTTGAAGATAAGCTGAGTTTGGGCTTTAACTTAAGCCTAAGCCTAAGTTAAGCATAGTTAGAGCTAAGTTCAGCCTAGACTGAAGCTGAGAACCAAGTGGCCTTCGCGGAGCGCGTCGTAGCCCCTACTATCAATTTTGGACTGCCCCCCCAACTGCATTAGCACCGAATCAGATTGTTCCGGAATTTGACAGGCGTAAAGATAGCATCAAAGCTATAATCCGATTCATAAGACCCAGCTGGTAAGACCCATTCGAAAATTGACCCGCTAGTCGGACCCAAAATTGGCTCTCTGGCCTTGGTTTGGACTTTGCCTCATAACTTTGTTGTTTACCATCGGAAACCAGTAATTTTTAACAGTCTGTCTTACCTCTAAAAGGCAATAGAATTGAAAATTCGTCACTTTATGGCATTTTGTGCTCGCATGCTAAAACGCGCCACGGGGGTTTGTGTAGTAAACCGAAATTCGGGATTTTCGTGGTGTTTTTGTCATGTAATCGCTGCGATCTTTTCGTAAGACTAATAGTAGCAATTTTTGGTACAACTGACCAGAAAATTTACAACATTCTGTGGCAGAATTAAAAAAAAACGGTTTTTAGTCTTTTTCCTGAACGTTTGTGGATAGTACGTACTCGTATTCGGCAGCAATGTGCCACCACCGATTGCCTAACAACCCCAAAAATCGAAGCTAGAGGAGCCGAGAAAAGCGGGAAAAACGAAACCTACAGTATCCCGCTGGGGCACGTTTTAGCAAGCAATACAAAAATACCATAGATTGTGGTGGAATCTGATGTGGCATCTGAGATTAGTATTTGGATCGGTCATTGGCAAAAACAGCCATGGATAGTGAGTTAGAAGCGGGTTATCACTCAAAGAACAAAAATAGCGCAAAATCGCGAAAATTGTTTTGCCTTTAAAAAATGAAATAGACCACGAAAGATTCTAAGATTGTGTTATTACGTTGCAATGAACTAAATCCATTTCTGAGCCAAAAACCAGAATTTTCCCACCACACGTTCAAGAACGCACAATTTTCGGTCGTAACCAGCGTCAATAGTATAGTTTCGTACTCAAAAATCGAAAAAGAAGCTGTGTTAAATTTTCTACCCAGCATATTTAAACATTCTGGCATGGTAACGCACCTTTAATTCTCTACCGTTCGCGAGATATTTTGGCCCAAACTCTGTACGACCATCTGATGCAGTTTTTACGCTGATTCCGAATATGCAGCCCATTTTTGCCAAGGCCTTTTAGTTTTCAAGATTTTTCAAAATAGCAGAAGATTCTTTATAAATCTTAAAATTGGGTGCTCATGCACTTGGGGGGGGGGGGGAGTCCACATTTTGACTACAAGACGCTCAAATGCCGTTTTTAAACTTGAAGCCTCTGGAAAAGCTAAGCTAAGCCTAAGCCCTGGATTAGCTTGATACAAACGAAGCCTGAGCTTCGCTTAAGCCAATCTAAGCTTAGCTCTAAGCTAACCCCTAAATGGCACCATTTTGACCTCATAAGGCAATTTGAAGCTCAAGATAAGCTTAGCTTGGGCTTAGGCTTAAGCTGAACCTAAGCTAGGCATAGCTAAAAACCAAGTAGCTTAAGCGGTGCACCTCGTAACCCCCTTACTACCAGTCTTGGACTGTTCCCCCCTAACTGCATTAGCACCAAAAACTGTTACCACCCCCGTTATTTGTCCTCCCCCGTTAAGCAACCTTTACCGAAGTTTGTCACGAATTATTACTTTTCCCGATTCGGTTGTGTATTATTTGCTCCATTGGTCTTATAAACCTATACTATTTCTTTAGTTGCATAGCCCAGTCGTTTTGAACCGTTTGCATAGCCTTTTCAACCTAAATCCGGCTGAAATAGCCGTTGAATTCCCGTAACGGATCTTTAGATCTTTGGCGCGTTGCCAGCCTCCGTGGATGTCACCGAACAGCTGACTCTGTCCTCTCCCCCACTTCTCACTCTCTTCTCTCCGCAAACGTTTATCACATGAAATTGCTCCCGAACTCGTTTCCTATTTCTCTAATTTATCTCCAAATAAGCTTCGATATTTGGTGCTAATGCAGTTAGGGGGGGGGGCTGTCCGAAATTCATAGTAAGGGGCCGCTTAAGCTACTTGGCTTTCAGCTCAAGCCTTGGCTTGACTTAGCTTTAATTATGACTAGCTTAGGCCTAAGACTAAGCCCAAGCTAAGTTTATTTTGCGCTTAAAATGGCTTTACGAAGTCCAAATGAAATCATTTAGGAGTTAGCGTAGTGCTACGCTTAGCTTGTTTCACGCTAAGATCAGGCTTGGTTTGTATGAAGCTAAGCCTAGGCTTAGGCTTAGCTTAGCTTTTCCAGATGCTTCGAGTTTAAAAAAGGCATTTGGAGCGTCTTGTTATCAAAATCTGGACTCCCCCCTAACTGCATTAGCACCCGATATTTATACTTTTCAGACCGCGAGACGATGTCGTGGTCCAACCTGACATCTTCTTTCGAAAAGGGCATCCGCGCTACCGTCAAGAAGATAGACAAGCTGCTCGACATTGATGAAGATTCCACGGAAGACCCCATTTCAGATCTGAAGATCGACAGCGACAGCACTTTCACGGAGGTAACGATTTCCTTTGTTTTGTTAAATTGCTATAGTCTCCGAGCGTGAGCGAAACTCCAAAGAACCAGCCACCAAAGCTCGTCGAAAAGGGCCAAGCCCCAGCGAAGAAGGTCGAGAAACTGCTGGATGCTGAAGTAAAATTTTGGCATCATTTTAATAGTTTTTGATGAAACGAATTTCCGCAGGGTTATGACATCTCATTTAGGACGGGACCGACGACTCGATCTCCGACCTGAAAGTGGATAGTGATTATTCCTTCACGGAGGTAACGATTTCTTTTGATTTGCCTTAATTTCTAGACTCCGCAATTGGGCGAAATGGCGAAGAAGGTCCCGCTCTTGGACGCTGATGTAAAATTTTGGAATTACCGAATAGTTCTTTAGAGAGACGAATATCCAACGATTTATAGCATCTTATTTAGGACGGAACAGACGACATCTCGGACTTGAGGATCGACAGCGACAGTACTTTCACCGAGGTAACTATTTCTTTTGTTTTGACAAAATTTTCTATAGACACCGCGTTTGGGCGGCACTGGAAAAGAGAAAGAGATGCTTGAGGGTTCGACGGCCAAGATGGCAGTTGTTCAGCCGCGCTCATTGGACTTTGAAGGAGATTCATGGCTTGCACATGGAACTGTAAGCCGTTGGTTTTGGCATATTATGCTGTTACTAGGAAGGGACGGCTGTCGTCGACCATGAGCCCAACCCGATCCGCGACTCGGCAGCCTACGAATTTGAGACTCAGTTTCACCGTTCCACTCCTTCCCCCGGACACCAGGAGCACACCTCCGACGACCTTTCGAATGGCTCGCAGGAGGGACAGCAGCAGCCTGTTGACACCGTACGTTTTAATTCCCATACTTGACTTACTCAAACTTTATTTAGAAATCCTTCTCCACAAATGATTCTGGGGATTCGGACCACGAGGAAGGATTTGAGGGAGTCAAGCTCGACGATGGCCCCGTCAGCGAACAGTCGGTCACCGTTTGCCAGAACTATATTTTGGTTCTAGTGGCGGTGAAACCTCGCCCACGGTCCATTTTGAGCAGATCGGGCGCCGCAACTCTGACCTGACGGTTGCTAGCAGCGACATTGAAATCATCCACCATATTGATGCCTGGTATAACAGACACAAATATGAGAATTGTGTTCTTAGGTCCACTAACAGCCAGCCCCCCTACAATCCGCCACTTCTGGCAAGAGCCGACCCTGGCACGAGCGCGCTTGTCCAGGAACACCGCCTGGACAGCCTTAAAAAGAAGAACGAGACGCTCAAGCAGACCATCAACCAGATGAATCGTCGTCTCGATGCCTCGAACGAAGAGTGCGTGTTTCTTTTCGCGGATACGTTGTTTAGGCGTGTCACGTTGGCCAAGAATCTTTCGCAAGCCGAAATGGAGAAGGCGACCTTGCAAGACGAGAAGAAGAAAGCGCAGGACGAACTTTTCAAACTGCACGGGGAAATCAGAAAGCTTAAGGCAAAAGTAACAATCTATCAGTGTTTTATACGCATCGTTGTTCCTAGTTCGAAAGCAGCGAATCATTACGCACCAGCGTCGCCACGTCCAACCGGAAGCTGCGTGAGGAGCTGGACAAGGTCATCGAACAGGCCGAAAGCGCTGACACACATGAGAGTGCTATGCAAAAAAAGGTACATTTCATCCTTTAATTCGTTATTCGGGACTCAGATCGACGAGCTGGAGGCGCGCCTGAAGGAAACGACGACCGCGCAACTGAAAGCTTCCGAAATTTCTGAATGCGCGGAAGCGCAGATTCAGGGACTCTCATTTGAGGTAATTTTCAAGATATCGACTCCAAAATGTCGTTTAGTTGGAACGTCAGAAGCAAGCCTTGGTGGCGGTGATGATGGAGAAGGAGGAGATCACTAAGAAGCACAACCTTCTGCTGAGCGATTTAAAAATGAAGTGGGGTTTGGTAATCGACAGTCAAAATCTTTAGGGAAACTGCTAAAACGACGGAGCGCCTCGGCTTCGACCATAATTTGATGACGAAGCTCGCCCAGGACGAGGTGGCGGAACTGAAGGAAGAGCTTGCCATGACGCAGCGGAAGCTGAACACCAAGACGGAGGAGTACGAGGCGGCGATGCGCCATTTGAAAGATCAGGTTGGTTTTGGAGATAAATTATTCAACAGATTTCAGCTGAAAGGCGACCACGAGAAGCTTCAGAATGCGCTCGCCCTGAAGACTCTCGAAATGATGAACTTGGAAGCAAGGCTGACGCAAGGCCGCGACGCCTACGACAAATTGCAGTAAGGGTTTCAAGCTTAACCACAACTGTCTCTTTAGTCGTTCGACCCAGGAGCAATACCAACAGCTCTCACAGCAGCTCAACACCAGCATTAACGCATTGGTAAACGCACGCTCATTGTCTCCAAAATTCTTGTTTAGAACCAGCAGCTCCACCAGGAGCGCCTAGAAAAAGACGCTTGTGCTGAAGAGCTCTCGACGCTGCGAGCTGAGGTGATTAATTTTGTTGTGAAGTTATGCCGCGCTTTCAGTTTGCTGCTTTACAGCAGCGGCCGGGGGTCGATCCAAATGTGTTGACGCAGCTTCGCCAGCTGGTTGCGGAGAAGACCGAGGAGGTTCGCCTAAATTGTTCTGCAAATCTTTTAATTTAGTGCAACCGCTTGGAGACGGAGTACAATCGAGTGCTCGTCGAATGTGGAGGCCTGATTGAGCGGCAGAAGGAGCTTGAGCTGGACGTTCTGGATCTGAAGGACCAGCTGCGCAACCTTTCCGAAGAGCAGGCGGTACTATTTTCCGTTGCCTGCCTAGTTAAACTGTTTTTCTAGGAGGCGGCAATCAGGGGACGGGCTCGCGACTAATGCACTCGGCCACCACGACACCACCTAGAATTGTTCAAGAGTTTGTATAGATGTGTATTCCCGCGCCCCGGTTTTGTGATGTCTCGCCTTTTTCGGGTATTTTTTATGTCTGTGATACATTGGCCTTGCATATTATTTCTTTTATGCCACTATTTGCTGGTTTCTACAAAGCTGTGATGGCCCGAAAATTGTCCAAATATTAACGGAATTTCGATAAATTTTTCTTTATAACTCGCGGGCAGAAAAACAGATTTTCAAAATGCGGAAAGTGCTGGTCCTGAGAAATTCTAGAAGGGGCTGATAGTGAGAGTTTTGTGTTATTTCGAGTACAGGGTAAAACGGTAGATCTAACTATATTTAGTCCGGAAAAACTATCTGGAAACTTTGGTCAACCGGCCATCGTTTGTCTAAAAGTTACATTTATTGTATTTTTCCTCAAAATTGCAAAGTTTTTGCGTTTAGGATTAGCGAACACAAATCAGAAACACTTTTCGCGATTGATATTTGCAAGATTGGGCTTTGAGAAAAAAACTTTAGTTTGTTTTTCGTCTGCCTTTCCCTTTACCCCAATTGACCCAATGCCCTTCTCTCATTTCCACCAAAGACTCCCCCCTCGACAGAGAACAGAACCGAAAATTGGTGTATCTCCATCTTGTTGGTTGACCGCCTTGAAAATAAGTTCGCATTGGTTCCCCGCAAGATTTGTCGGCATTATTTGGTGAGAGCCGGGCGAGAACTTTTGAGGCCGATCCCCGACTCCTCTTCAGAGCCCAACCCGCTACGATGGTTATCTCCGAGTCAAGCGACGATGCGAGGAGCATGAGGTGTAGAGGAAGAGGAGCAGGAGGTGCGCATGTTTGGAGAGGCTCCTTCTCTTCGAGTAATGGTTCCTTTTCGCGTCTTCCTCTCTAGTCTTTCTGCCTTCGTCTTACTGTCGGCTATCTGATCGTGCTGCTCCCCACCTCTCTGCACGGAGATCCATCCAGGGCTCACCCTCCTTTTGCCTCGGGATGGCCTCAAGCACATGAAGAGGAGAATGGAGGTGGTGCTCGGCCGCAGATGGATATGTTACGCAATCATACAGACGTGTTGAGGAGGACAAAGTTTTTGCGGAGGATGATTGATTTAAAGGAGCATGACCCTGTGGGGGTATCAATCTTTAGGGCAACGTTTAGAGGAGATTCAGAATCTTATAGAAACAGGCATATAAAAAATTATACAAAATGAGTTAAACCAAGGCGATAAAAGCTAAAAAAGTGAATAAATATGGATTTTTCAAACTTCCGGCAACAGAAGCTAGAGGGGCTAGAGGCCTCATTGCCATCCCAAAACCAGCGAATTGTGCAAAATGAGATAAACTGGAGCGATGAAAGCTAAAAAGGTTATTAAATATGAATTATTCATACTTTCGATAAAAATCAAGAAGGAGCACGAGCTCGTTTTTCAAATCCCAAACTGGAAGCTGAACTTTAATATTTAATCCAATAACTTAATTCTTTCTAGTTATTTTGGAAGCCGATAAATAATTTTTGTATGAATTTAAACCTAAATTGTCAATCAGTAAAGATTTCTAAAAATAATTTAGCAAAAGAACAACTCTAGGTTTGTTGGTTGTTAATTTCCGGAAAAAACGAACTATCGTTTTTTCGAAAAGGAGCACGAGCGATCTCCTCTCAATCGCTAAACCAGGAATTTTTGATCAACCGCTGAACTTACCCGACCCGAACGTCATGATCCATGCTCAACTTTTTATCTCGATCTCCCAAATCTGCACCCGCAAAAAGCCCAATTCGCACAATTCCAATCTTCCCCCAACGTTAATGTCTCCAATTTTGCCACCTCTTGCTCCTCAATTTGCTCGGTTGTCTCACCCTGGTAGTCTAAATGGTTCTCGAACTTACGTGCGCACCTGGATGACCTTCACGCTTTTCTCACCCATTTACACATCCCTCCACCGCAATAAAGTCTGTATTAATGGCAGGAAGTGTCGGGATTTTTTTTCGATTTCTTCCGGTGGTCGTAGGTTGCTCTTTTCTACCTCTAGCTCACCCGCTTTATGGCAATTTCAACCCTCATTTTTTCCAGGACTCACCTTTTTATTACATTGTATCTTTCCCATCTCCTCCTCCCCTCGAGACTGTCACCACCGGAAGGGATCCACCAGCCTGTATATTGCTTCATTTTCACGGCTGCCAGGCTCGCTGACATTTTTTACTTCGGGTGGAACAGAACCGGTAGTTGGCAATAGGGGCGGCGCGTTTTCCTTGAAAATTATCCGGGCAGACCCCCCCGAGAACGAGGTGGAGCTGATTTTTATTGTTAGCTCTGCTTGGCTAAATGTCAATTTTTGCTCTCGATATTTTTGGACCTTTGTAGATAGTGCTTTTTGCTGTTTATAAGCATTATTTGTTTAAAAAATAGCTAGAAAGATTTTTCATTAATGTTTTCACATTTTTAAGTTAAACAGCTCTGAATGTCACCATCCCTTTAATCCGTCAGGCAGTGATTCTAGGCTTTGAAAACAATATAGAAGCTAATTTTCATTGCAATTTCTCGCAATCGAGGATTTTTCTTTATTTTATATTATTTTTAAACGCCCAACGAAAACGCTGTAAAATTTTGAAATGCAGGAAATTTTGATATCTTGATTAAATTAAGCATTTATTCCCTTAAAAACGATTTTATTTGAATTCCATCGGTTTATAATATTTTAAGGGAGCAGAATGCAGGGAATTTTGATTTGCGAGCCAAATAGACGCGAACTTTTGGTGGCACTGTCCCTTTGAAACGGAATTTAGTTTCCAAAGAGGAAATTTTTAATTTAGCAGCTTTAATTATAGTAGATAAATAAAATTAATCCGAATATGATAACCATTCCTATTCTTGCAAATTAACCTTTTACTAATTTCACTCAAGTTCTCATGCTCAAAACCTTAGCTCGTTCTCCCCTAGTGTATCCTGTACTCTGGACGTTGATTCCGAGCCGATACTGCCCCCCCCCGCCGGCATCCCTGACCCCCACCAAAAAATGGGCTTGGATCGGAAACGAGTTCCCCTTGACCTTATAGAGCCGATCCCGGCGGCGATGATTCGCGCATTTCGGGTGTGGGATAGATAGATAGCCCTAGAGCTTTCCATCCCCTTTAAACAAGCACTCCTCTGCAGCACCCCCACACCACCTTGTCTGGTCTATTCCAAAGGATCCGGATCTTGTCTTGAACTATTGTCTACAATTAGCCCCCCCTCTCATTCTCCACCCTCCTGCCCCTCTTCCTTCCGTCGTGTTCCCCACTCCATTTGCCCCCCCGGTCTGACCCAATGGCCTGACGCTGACGGGGGCCGATCTCCCCTCCTACTCCGGGTGTCTTCCGACTCATTTTATGCTCATGCTCGCCGGTTAGGTGGTTCTCAGCGCGAGAGGCGCTTCTCACCATCCATCATTTGTCTAGGATTGTGCATTTTTGTAGAGAAGCATACTATAAACCCAATTTTTTATTTATTAATTAATTGTGAATTTTATGCTAGGTTTGAGAAAGTTATGACTTTATTTTTTCCTAGTTATAAAATAGAAAAATGAAAAATGTTGTAATTTTGATAATTTTTGAGATCTTGTCCATTAAGATTGTTATACATATACTTTTAATGCGTATTGTAATTACCCCAACATCAGGGAAAATCTTGACATTACCACTTTTGCACATATTTCAAAGCCGTGAGCCGTTACTATACTTTTGACGCGCATACCTAAGAAAAACTCTAGAATCAATAGAATTCTTTTGAAATATCATTTTATGTTTTTGGAAAACGCCTAAGTGTCCAGCTGTTAAATTTTTATAATTTCAATTAATGCGTATACCTCGAGACTAGCTACTAGTCTCTGTCTTCACAACTCCTTTAAAAAGCGGGGGAAGGGACGATTCAATAGAATTTTTCTGCGGCAGCGACACGCACCCAGTTGATTACGCAATGTAAAGACGCGCTTGTGCGTCGCGTGTCGCGGTGGAATCAAAATCTATAGAGAACCTATAGTCATGTCCTTCTCGTCCCCCTTCACCTCCAACGGAGCCAATCTCTGCCCAAAATTCCACGCACCCGTGGCCAAAACTTATCACCCCGCCATCCGATTTATTTACGGCTCTACGTCCTGACCTCCAGCAAAATCTGACCACAATTCCCTTTCGGCGAACGCCGGCTAGGAATCGGTGCAATTCCGGCGTGAAAAATCTACTACACACGGGTATTTCACCTGAAGGCGTGAAGCGGCTTGAACACGCCACCCCTTCTGGCTCTCTCGCTCTCTCTCTCGCTCTCTCTCTCCCTCTTCATCTGCAGCCCCCGCCCCCCAGAATGGAATTCCCCCGTCTTCAAAAGCCAAAGATGGGCAGTGTTTAGGTGATGGTTCTTTGGGGCTGGAAAACGAGTGACACTTATCCTGAAAATCGGATGATTCCTGGGGCACCCCCCTTCAGCTTCTTCCTGTCAAAGCACCACCCCCCCAAAAATTGGAGATAAAAGAATATGTAAACAGATGAAAGCACACAACCCGTTTTAGAGGCTGGATGGGTAGATCTTTTAAAATCACGTGGTGTGGTTGGGAAATTGGTGCTCTTTGTTGATTTAGGAAGAGATTAGGCGGGGAAGATCGTATACCTTAGAAAATGCTGTATCTCACTAGGCAGGTGAAATCGTCTGGAAGCCTGATGTTTAAGGTTAATCTATTTTGAAAGATTTTGGAGCTATTTCCGGTCTCATTATTGTTGAGAAATTGGTGTGTTAATGGATTTTGAGGGATACGGTTTACTTTTTTGCCCAAAAATCTCAAAAGTGTCGAAATTTTTGATATTTACCCTAATTTTTGCAGATTTTTTGATATCATTCGATAGAGCATGCAAAAATATACCCAGAATGTTAATGAAGGCTAAAAATAATGTATTATAAAAAGTTATGGCCAAGCAGAAAATAATCTTTGAAAATCGACATTTTCGCTATTTTTGGCA